ATGGCAAGGAGTAAGGGCCCTATAAATATTTGTATTATTATGGGCTCCCTTCCCCCAGAGCCTGCATGCCCCAACCTCAGCTCCCCAGCTCCAGAGGTCAGACAGCTGTAAAAATCATAGCTATCATATTGGCTTCGTTTTCATAAAAACCAGTCCTGGTTTCAAAGTCCCCAGATTGCTAGTCAATTCTGTTCTTCCACCATGTGACCAGCAGGGGAAGGAAGGGCCTCATCCCTGCAGGATACTAAGCCCTTTCCCAGGAGGAGGCCTGGGAAAAGAAGGTCCTCTAGCCCTCTAACCAACCCAGGCTGGTGATGCTTCTCCTGGTGGTCTGGGGATGGGACAGGCTGCATGTCTGGGCAGTGGCTTTGGCACCCTCCATGTCTCTTCTAAGACACCTAGTCCCAGGCATCTGGGACAGCCAGGCTCCTTCCTTTTTCCTCCTGCTTCTCAGGGCCTGATATGAGAATGGAGGTCACATGGCCTTCATGTGGAAAGCCAGCACATCGACAATCCTAGAGGAAGAACAGACGATGGAAAAGGAAGGAAGAGAATGGGCTAAGTCCAGAGGAAAACCTCCCCCATTGCCTGGGAGTTAGCTTCCCGCCCTACCTGCTATTCTCCAGGTAGAGGACTAGGCCTTGATCCTGGTGTAAGGACCAGCCAGGCTGGAGAGCCACTTGACCTGAGGTACCATCTTCTAGTGCTACCTCTGTTTCCTCCAGCTTCAAGCCTCCTGCTTGTTCCCAGAGGCCACTCACCTGCCCACCACTGGCCTCCATTGGCCCCAAGCTTAAGCTGCTCAGAAAAAGGGTGAAGACTTGCAGCCCCCAGGCCTCTCACTCTCCATTAAGCAACCCTCCCAATCTGTCACCCCATCATCTTTTTTCCCATCTGTCCAGCTTAGGGCCTAGAGCCTCTAACCCACCTGAGTCATGTGGCAGCCACTTATCCCAGCCTCCTCTGTGAAGAGCATCCCTTCTGGTTCTAGGGCACAAGGCTGGATGCAGGGTCTGGGGCAAATGGCCCTGTGCAGTGCTATACCTTACCCATACATACAGTCCAAGTGACAATAGGCCCACATGGATCCCCAAGCAGCCATAACCAGGGAAAGCAGAGAGGTGATTAAAAAAAAAAAAAAAAAGGGGGGACACAGCAGGTGGGGGAGGTGAGTGGGGAGGGAGAAGAGAGGAGGCCCTGTTGCCAGGCAATCAGGCCTGCTCAGGGCCTCTCCAGGCAGTTTGCATATCAATGAGCAGCCCAGATTTAGTACCAGGGTTGGGACACCCACACACTGCATTTCCTCCAGGCTGCCCATATCTGAGGGCTCAGCCTGCTCTCCACTGCCCACTGGGAGGCTTGGTGGCTTTGAAAGAAGCAAAGTAGCCACTGCCACCCACACTAGGCAACTGCCCCAAGGGTATTAATCTGCCCCCACAGTCCAGCCTCCCAGATCACTGCTGGGAAACCAGAGAGACAAATGTCTACTGGATGACCTCTGGGATCAGTGGGAGGGCGGGTGCACAGGTACACGTAGGCAGACAAGTGAAGGACAGAAACCCAGCCCTGGAGAAATATACCCTGGCATGCTCATTCCTGGGCACATGATATATGTTCTGCATGGTGTGCATGCTGCACATGCGTCAGCCAGGGTCCATATTTATGCATGCACATGGACCCCCCAGGAATTGCCATCACAGTCACATGAATCAGCCAGGACAGCTAGGAGGCTGGAGACTGGCAGCACATTAGCACCCATGGAGCTGGAGGGAGGCCTTGGAGGGAAGCCGTGGCCCCAGAAGCTAGTGACTTGCAATTAATAATTCGCCCCCACCCCCAGGTGATTTGCATGCTAGTGGAGGTTTCTGAAGTCCAAGGTGGGGGGCTCAGTGTCTGAGGTGTATCCCCAGAGCAAGTTCAGTGAGGGGAAGAGATGAAGGAGGGGGAGGCGAGGGGCACAGGGCTGGAAGGGGCGGGAGAGTGGGCTGTGAGGAGAATCAGCAAATGATAGAATGTTCCACCTGGAAGATACCTTCAAGGCCACCAAGTCCCAAGGCTTCATTTGCATATGAGAAAAGTGCCAATCAGGGGAGATTTATAAAAGAGAAACGAAGCAAAAGAAAAGGAAGAAGACAGGAGAGGTGAAAAGATCAAGAAGAAAAGAGGCAAGGAGAAAACCCGGGTACAGATCGGGTAGCCCGGGTGCTCGCCTTCTCCTTGCCTTCTCCTTTGTTTAATGAACACATCTCCCTTTTTCTCTAATTAGGTGAAACAAACAACTTGAACCAGAATTTGTATTTCCCAGAAAGCACACGCCCGGACACAGTAAATATGTCATTAATCATCATTCCCAGGCAGAGGAGCACGCTGGGCTGGAGAGGAGGGGAAGCAGTCAGAAGACCTAATTAGAGCCCAGCCTCCCTGCCCCCTCCCACTGGCACCCACACACAGGCTCCCTGCCACCACACCCAGAGTCCAGCAACTGGGGGGGGGTCCCCAGGCAGAGTCAAAGTTATATAAATATCCCTTGTTAGCACCTCAGAAGAAAGGAGGTGAGAAGAACAATGCAGTCCCCTCCTCCGCTCCTCCCCTCACCCCACCCCCAGGTCTTATTCTCATCCAGGAAATTGTTCTTATTATCACTTAGCTATTTATAGTCACAGTGAGGTTTGCTGAACAGCCCCAAGCCAGCGTGGTGCTGTGGTGCTGGCTCTAGCTGGGGGATAAATTATATGCCCTCCAGAAACTTTTTGGACCTCAGTCAAGCACCCTGGCTCAGAGGCCGACCTGAAGACTCTGGCCCTGTGGGCTATTTGGCCTGATCCCTTTGTCTGCTAGGACTGGCCACATCCTTCTCCTCTGATCCCTGTGCCCAGGACCAGTGCCTCCCAGTAAAGAAAGTGCTGAGTCCTCAGGCCACCAAGGCCTAGCTGCTGTACAGTATAGGAGAAAGTCCAGAGCTACTGCCCTGTGGCTCTCCCTAGAATGTCAGAGTCTGGCTTGGCCCAAAGCAGGATGTGTTGTTTTGTTGTTGTTGCTTTTGTTGTTGTTGCTGTTTAATTTTGAAATCAGGGTCTCAATAGGTTAACCCAGGCTGGCCTCAAATTTGAGATCCTCCTGCCTCAGCCTCCCAAGTTGCTGGGATTGCAGGAATGCACCACTATACCCAGTGATGCATTGATCTAGGCTGAGGCTCAGGCAAGGTTCTCCTTGTCCCAGAAGTCACAAGCTTTGCCCCGTGATGAGAAGGATCACCCCAAGCTGAGACTAGATTCCAGCAGCCCACAGATTTCTGCTAGTTACCTCAGTAACCATTCTCCTCCAGAGTACTGAATCAGTAATTGTTTCCACCTGCAAGGCCCAGGTCATAGGAACTGACCTCTGGCATCTCAGGAGGCTGGACGGGGTCACTCATTCTGAAATACCAGTCTACACTCTGCCCAGTAAGTTCCTCTTGCTCAGTTTTCTCTTGCAAAATAAAGATAATGCTCTTGAGAATGAGAAACAACCCCGTTGTTATTTCTTGGGAGGTTTTGAGGAAGTAGAGTCATCTATTCCCTGGCCCCAACTGGGGCAAAGCACGGCTGCTTCCAGTACCTCTTCCAAAGTGAAGTCCCTCCCAGGATGGGACAGAAAGTCTTCAAAAGATGAACAGACTCCAGTTTCTACCCTTCCACCCAGACACCCTCCCCAGCATGTGACTCCCTTAATGGGCCCCAAACTGATGGGGAGGTAGCTAGAAAGAGGAACAGAGGAGAGCAGAAGGTAGCAGCCCTGATGAGAGAACTAGGGACAGAATGGCATTTTGATCCAGTAGGAAACAGCAATGGCCCCAGAAGAGAGGGGACCAATGGCTTTAGGACTTGCCTTGGTTTCCAAGAGCTTCCGTAACAAAGCACCACACTCTGGTGCGTAAAACAGCAGTGCTTTGTTCTCGACAGCTGTGGAGGCCAACAAGTCAGAAATCGAGGTGGCGGCAGGCTGTCCCGCCTTTCAAGTATCTAGAGAAGAAGGCTCTCTGTCTCATCCAGCCCTGGCGGCTCCTCTTACATGTGGCAGCATCATTCCAATCTCTGCCTGTCTTCACATGGTTGCCTCTAATTCTGTGTCATCTGCTCCTCTCAAAAGGACAGCCATTGGATTTAGGGAGGACCCTCCCTAAACCCAGGAGGATCTCATCTCCAAACCTTAGAGATTAATAAGTACTTAACTAATCTGCAAGGCCCTATTGCCACATGGGATCGTGTACGTTTCTGGGTAGACGTGAATTTGGGGATACAGTTCAACCCTCTGCACGACCCTAGTCTTTATGTCACTACCAACATAAAGTATGAGTTTAGTCAAGTCCTGTCTCCTCTGTTAATTTCACCTGTTTCCTCCCCAGTCAGATGGAAAATAATGATATCTGTCCTGCTATGATTTGGTGGAGGCTCTAATGAGACAGGGAAGGGAAATGGTTTGAAAAGACAAAAGGGAAATATGTAGGGAAATAATTAAAAGTGGATGTGCATTGCTTCTGCCTACATCCCTACCCTGCTCTGTCCTTACCTCCATGCCCACAGTCGCATCCCCTTCTGCAGACCGTAACCTTTCAGGGGCCACAAGTGGCCACCCATTGCAAACTACCTCCTTGCTTTTCGCACAGACCTAAGACTCACCCTGACACCAGAGGCAAAATAGATGTCAGTTCATTTCTACATAAAACCTACTTGAAGCCTGATTTCCATTAGCCCCAGCCTGATTTCTTTTGTGCTTTTAGCTTACAAGTCCAGGCCGATTTTCATGCATGATAATAATATTTCTAGTTGCTTTTTCCTTCCACACCCCAGCACTCATGCCAGGGAACCAAGAGTAACCTCACCCCCAGCTCTGCAGAGAGACTGAACCCTGGTCTCCTGAGCTGACCTACACACCCACATACTCCATCACTGCTCTCTCTTCTCCTCTCTGAGCTGGGCCCTGAGCCACCCAGGCCAACACAGCCCAGTGACATGGGGCCTTCTGTCCCTTTTCCCCCTCCTCTTCCAGACCCTGCTTCGAGATGGCAAGCGTGAGAGCATCGTCAGCACCCTCTTCATCTCCCCCGGTGATGTAGAGAATGGACAGAGCATCGTGTGCCGTGCCACCAACAAGGCCATCCCTGGGGGGAAGGAGACTTCAGTCACCATCGACATCCAGCGTGAGTACTGACCAGCCCCACCTGGCCTGGCCAGGCCCAGATTGGGAAATGTCTTTTACCCCTGACCAGAGCTGGGGCCATCTGAAGGGAGAGGATGGGCCAAACAGCTCTGTGGATTGGCCAGTTTGTGTGAATGGGCACAAAGGACCATCTTGTTCTTATTGTCATTGTGAAGCACAGATGAGAGTCCTCTGCAGAGGGCATCTTCTAGTCACATTCACACTATATATCCACGTCAACCAATAGTCAGCAGCTGGCCCCACTGGCCTGCGGGAAAGGGAGCCAAGGCAAAGATGCTGGGAGCTGACAGGCACTCAGGGTCCAGAATGGGTCATAGCCGTGTGCCCTGGAGAGGGTCTACAGAGCCGCTCTCATGCAAGGGTTGGTCAAGGGGATTAGAGGAAGAGGAAGAAGGATGGGTGTTCATTCAGCTCATACTTTGCATGCACTGTCTCCTTTAGTCCTTACAACAGCACTTGGAGGATATATGACTGTGGTCCCTAAATGGGGAGAATGAGGCATCAAAAGGTTGGTTAATTTTCCCAAGGCCACAGAGGGGGCCAGGCACCTGAGCTTTCCAGAGCCCACCCTGATAGCCCAACTTCTATACTCCGAGTTCAGCCTTCAGCAGGTATGGCTATTACCGTTGATATCAACAATCACATGCTGTTAAGATCCACCAGCATCACATCCCAAAAGCCACCTAAAGGAGATCCCTAAATGTCCCCTAAAAAAAATCCCCCTAAAGTGCCTGTAAGCCCCAGGAGCTTGACAAGGCCTTACTCACAGGACCAGTATTGGGTAGGTTTAAAGTATCATCCCTCAAAGGTGGACTTCTCCCCTCTCAGATGCCCTCCCTGCCGTGGAACATAATGCCACTACATGCTGGTGACCTAGCACATAGTTGGTCATAGACTCTGAGTGACATGGCTGCAGTTGTAGGCTGGCATTCATGGTCTCCTCAGCACTTCACTCGTTTTTGAAGAAATGCTTTACAACACTTCCTAACAGCCCTGACTTGTCTAAGGGTTCTTGACTCTGGGTATCATATGGCTCCCCAGGGATGTGGAGTCCACAAGAGCTGTGCCTCAGGATTTCTAGAGCCTATCATGGCATCCAGAGAGCAGAAGTTCCTCCCTCACTACCAGCATCCTGACCCCATTTAGATTCCAGAGGGAGAAAGAAATGGTTATAAACATCAGGAAGGTCCCAATGCCTGGAGAGAATGGTGGAGTTCTTGGGAAGGCTTATCTTCACTATCTTGCCAGCAACTAAAAATCCCCTTGACCCCACAATGCACACCCCAGGGCTACTTCTTCCAGTTACTCTTCATTAATGAGAGTAGAGAGCAGCAGAGCTCTTGCTGAGCCTAAGGCCAGGAAGCTAGAGGGAGGTGCCCAGGGCACAAAATTTAAGAAGGCCTCCCTTGATGGTGTAAGTACAGGGTGGGTCCTGAGAGGAAGGACCTCCTTCAATTTTGCACCTGAGGTTCCTCCATTTCTTGGCCCTAGACCTGCCCTGGCTCTCAGCACCACCTGCTTCTGTCCCAGTGAACTGGGGTTTGGAGCACAGGCCCAGCTCTGAGAGGAGGCAAGATGCTCTTGGGCTGGACAGCGTAACAGCCAGAACAGCTCCACCACTCCCGAGCTTGGCAGGCCTGAGCTTGTCAATCTTCACATCCCACCCCCAACTCGGGTTTCTTGTCTTATCTGACCAATGATGTCTCTAGGATTGACCATGAAGAAGAGCTCGCTCTCTCTAGACAAAAGCCAGATCTGGGGGAGGCACAAAGTATCAAAGCCCCCGAATATCTGTGGCCACTGCATGGAGCCCCTGATCTCCTTCCCCCAATCCTGGGCAGGAGACCTATACCAGCTGCAGAATCCCATACAAAACAGACAACCTAGCTGGCTCTCCCAGGACAGCAGCCAGGACCCTGGCAGGGAAGGGGGGAAGTAGCAGTGTTTCTGCTCCAGGCCACTCTCCATCACCCAGAAGAACCTCTCCCAGCAACAGGAGAGTCATCATAGTAATAGCCCACCCGGCTATTCAAAGACATCCTCTAGACGCACTCCAGCAAGAGGATCAATTTACCAGGCTGCACATGCTCTGGGGTCTGTATCAAGATGTCAAGGGCCTCTCCAGGTCTCTGGGCCCTGCCTGACTTTGCTTCCAAGGACATCTCAACTGTATCAGGAGGGAGGCATCATGACTGAGGTCAGGCTCAGAACCCAGGTCTCCAGTTTCCTGGAAAGGCCCATCCAAAGCAGCACAGGGTAGTCGTTAAGGCTTGGCATTCTTCCTGGTTTGAATACTGAATCTGCCACTTACTGAGTGACACTCACCTGGTTAGTTACTCACTCTGTGCCTCAGTTTCCCAATTCATACATGGTGATAATCAGACTTACCTCCTGAGGTTGCAGTGAGAATTTCATTAAATCACTTACGTCAGCCCCTAGCACCATGCCTAACTCCTTAGGAGCATTGTAGCCAATGCATTAGGACAAATAGCCACAGGTACACAGCAGCCACTCCCCAGGGAACCCACCCCCAGCCCTAACAGGGGACAGGCCTTTATCCATTTGCCACTGGACTCTATCTCCCATAACCAGAAGGTGTTTATAAGTGCCTGCCAAGCAAAAGCACAGCCTCTCCCTCAGCTCCCTCCGCCTCCTCCTTCCTCCTCCATTGATTCATTTGTTCATTCTGTAAGCGTCCGACTGTTTGCCGTGGACACCGTGGGCTGGATCAGAGCCGCCTGTGCAAACCTGCTCATTTTCTCAGTCAACCAAGAAGCATCCAGACTCAGCAAAAGCACATTTGTTGTTTGTTTCCCTTGGTCTTTATATGTTACCCAACGGAAGACAAAGCCCCCAGATTGAGTAATGGGAGAGAAAGCTTAACACCCCCAAAGCCTCGCCACATCTGGACTCCATGTCCAGCTGCCAAGTTTCAAATGGATGTGCTATAAAATCACTGAGTCATGAAGTTTCTCTTTCCCGCCCCCTCCTCCGTGTAATACTTTCCCTGAAAACACACACACACCCACATACACACACGCACGCAGGTTGCTGATAGAAACACTAACAGACTCTCAGCTGTAACATCTGTTCAATGTGATCTCAGTTCCACTAGCTACATCAAAGCTGCCCTCCTGCAAGTTATGCAGCCGACATCACAAGTGGGATTAAAATCATGTTTAATAGTTGGATATGACATAAACTATTTATACTTCGGGAGCTTGGCAGACTCCTGGAAATTCATATCCTGCACATCCAGAGGAGACGGGAGAGGAATGGAGAAGGGATGTAGGCATCTCTGAGTCTGGAGTGGAGCTGTGCAGGTAAAACTGGTGTGTGTGTGTGGAGCCCTCCTGGGACTGCTCTCCTGAGGCTCTTCAGGACAGGCTGGGGACTAAACATATTGCAGAAAGGAAGGAAGAAAGCAGAAGAGAGGCCTCCACGGGCTAAACTGATAATGGCAGGTGTGTGGTGGAGCATCAGGCAGAAAGAAGAGTCCTCCAACAGGTGGGCTCCATTCCCCTGCCTCCCAAGAGCCCAACACTTTGTAAAGGACACTTAGCTAAGGGATGGGCCTTCTATCCCTCAAATTTCTCCCCTAATTCTATGGTGGGTTCCTAGATTCTATTGAAATGACACCTTCACTTCCTCAAACAAAAGCTGGTTTCACAGTATTAGAATTCATCATGTGAGGACACGGGCCAGCTGCATATTGGGTCCAAATGACAATCACCAAACCCCTATGCCTCCAGACATGCTTCTCCACAGCAAGGGGCAACCTCCCCTCTGGGTCTCCACAGGTGATCAGCTTCGCCACCAGCCCTGCATGGAAAGAGGGTCAGCTGCCTGATTCAGCCTTGCTCTGGAAGCTGGTGGGCAGCAGCTGGGGAGAGGATGTAGGATTTTCTAGGTGGGTGGGTGAGGGTCCTGGGAGGTGGAAGGAGAGTTCTCATGGCTATTCCTTGCTAGATACATCTTTGTGACCATTTGCATTATTGGTTGAAATAGCCACCTGTGTTAGTCAGATTTCCACCACTAAAAGAAATACCTGGGATAATCAACTTATAAAAAGGAAACGTTGATTTTGTATCAGAGTTTTGGAGGTTCCGGTCCATGGTTTATTGACCCTGTTGTTTTGGGTATGTGGCAAGGTAGCATATCATGGCAGGAGAGTCTGGTGGAGCAAGATGGCTCACCTCATAACCAGGAAGTGAAAGAGAGAAAGAAGAAGAGACCAGGATCCCACAGCATTCCCCACCCCTGCCCAAAGCACATGCTCAATGACGGAAAGACCTCCCACTAGGGCCCGGTCTCAAGGTTTCCACTACCTCCCAACAGTACCTTGTAATTGCCCACAAAAAGGTAGCAGACCAGCTGCTCCTGCACCAGATGCTTCCCCGATATGTAGTTCCCATCCTGAACTAGGAGATAATATGAGAACAGGCTTCCAACATAGGTAACTACCCACTGCTCGGATCATGGAGTTCTCCCCAGCATCTGCAGATCCTAACAAGTCCAGTGGACACCTCGAAGGCCAACACCTATGTTCCCACACTGGCAGTGAAACATGGCACTAGCATGCATGGGAGTCAGTAGTCCTGACCTCACGTCCAGCCTTATTCCGCAGCTGCAGGGTCTCAGAACCCCACCTGCCTCAACTAGGTGCCCACACCCAGTGGCCACAGTCTTCTTCCCTGTGCTCCTTTTCACAGGGAATCAGAGTGATTGGTATTTTTCTTGATGGCCTCTACAGAACTGGCTTCCTTACTTCTTTTTCTGGGCTGAACCCCCTAGCAAACCCTCATGACCTTTCACAATTTGCTTTGCGTGCTGGTGGGGAGCAGCCCAGGGTGCTGGCTAGCACGTGGGAACTGAAGTGCCCTTTAAGTCGGCCTAAAGTTGAAAGCCAGCCTGGCCTCCAGGCCGTGACAAGGGAGAGGGTCGAGCACTGGATCATGGCCTCCTCTCCCCTGGGGTGCAGATGACGCTGGGCAGAGTCTGGAGCTATGGGATCCCAGCAGCAGGGTGACCCAGCCTGGAGGAGGTCGAGAGCAGCTGCCCCTGAGCAGGGCAGGGCCAGGCTGACATGAGGCCATTTGTGGGCTGATCTCCACCTCTCTTCCTCTCTGCTGAAGACCCCTCAAACTCTATTCCCATTTTTCCACCTCTCAAGTCTGTTTTTCCCTCTCCCTCTTCTCTATTTCTTGTTATTTTGTTTGGAGTTTCTCCTAACACCCTGTCATTTTCTGTCTCCGCCTGCTGGGTCTCCCTTTGTCTTTTCTGCTTTCAGCGAGAAATTTTCCTGTGATTATGCATCGCTGCAAATATGTCTGTCTCTGTCCATCTCTCTGCTTCTCTAGGTTTCTGTCTCCTTTTTTTACTCTTCTGCATTTCTCAATCCATGTCTGTCAGTCTGTTATCCACCCATGTCTCTGTCTCTCTCCCTCATCTTTGTACCTATCCCCTCTCTTTCCCCTCCCTCATCTCTGTACCTATCTCTCTGCCTCTCTCATCCCTCCTCTCTGTTTCTGTCTGTCTGTCCCTCTCTGTAGTCTCTCCCAGGTCTCTGTCACCCTCTGTGTGTCTGTCTCTCCAACATGTCCGTGCCACTCTGCTTGCCTCCCAAACCGTCTGTGCAGATCTCTCTGTGTCTTGCTGTCGCTGGTTCCTGTCTTCCTGTCTCTCTCCCTCTCTCTCTTACTTTCTGTCTCCTCCACCTCCCACCATTTAGCACTTCAGAGTTTGGCTTCTTATCATGTCAAATGAGAAAACTGTAGCCCCAGCCCTGGGAGCTGAGGGACTGGTGACACCAGTCAGGACTCAGTGGAGATGATCATGCTGATGAAAGGCTGTAAATGCCACTTTCAAGTTACCAGATGCCCCAGAACCTTCACACAGAGAGAAACAAACAGACAATTCAAAGACAGGAAGCTGGTATTGAAATGGAGCCGGGGGTCCACACTCCCCCAAACCCTGCACCTGCTTCTCCTCTGCTTCCTGAAGTGTTTTGTTCTGTCCAGAAGCTGGAGGCTGGACAGAATGCTCCTGGGACCCACACAATGGCAGCTCCCTGAGGGACATTCACTTCAATACCAGGCCCTGAATCCACAGAGGGGCCAAGGTCCCCCCAGGACCCTTGAGGTTAGCACCTCCAGGGAGCAGGAGCCTCCTGCTGAGCCCCTCTTTCTGAAGACCTCAAGCCTGGTGGCTATTCTGAGGGCCCCATATGGTGGCATCTCTGGCCTTAACCTCCTTGTGTTCCAGAGGGTCTTTCTGCCCTAAAATTCCTCGCCCCCCCTCCACACCCCGACTACAAGAGGATCTCTTCTCCCTGCAGACCCCCCACTTGTCAACCTGTCAGTGGAACCGCAGCCGGTGCTGGAGGACAACGTCGTCACATTCCACTGCTCTGCAAAGGCCAACCCAGCTGTCACCCAGTACAGGTGAGCATCACTGCTGTGGAGGCACAGCCTGACACGTAGGATGTCACCACCCCATGCCTGTCGCGTAGGATGTCACTTATCGTCCATGCATGGCTACCATGCGTGATTCACTGCAGGTGTCCAGATAGCCTTGTAATCAAATAACCCCCACACCCACCCACCTGCTGGCCAGGTGGACTCTTCCCTTCCTTCATGTGGCACGCATGCCTCTTCCACAGGAGGCAGGATGCTGTGCCCCTCTTGTTCAAACAGCTTGGTTACTCGGTATTTCTGAAAAGAGGGAAAGGCTCAGGACAAAAGTTAAAACACACCAGAAGAGTCAGGAGAGTCATTAGACTCTGTTTGACTTCTTAGGGTCCAGTGGGAGCCTCAGGATCCATGTGTTCTTGCCACAACATTGATAAAACCATCACTGTTTTTGTTGTTGTTGTTGTTGTTGTTGTTGTTTAGCATTAGGGATTGAACACAGGAACTTTTACCCCTAAGCTACATCCCCAGCCCTTTTTATTTTGAAACAGGATCTCACTCACTTGTATCTTTGCCTCTTAACAGAGCTTCTTAAAGGCAAGAACTGCAATTTAGTCACTTATGGCTCTCAGCATGTAGCCCAGCGCATGGCATCAAACTAGGGCTCCTTATGTGTATCTGATGGATGCAATCTCTGAAGGCCCAGAGCTGCGCCGCCCCACCTATGTGCATCGCCACACAGGATTCCAGAAACTAAGTGATCTGAGAGTTCCTCAAATGCAGGCTGAGGATACTTACCTCACCTCCTTTGGATGTTCCTTTGTGATACTCACCAACACCCTAACTCGGCCCTGTCCTTTCCCACCTGCCCGGGCTCCATGGCAGGGCCCAGGGCATCACCTCTGCCATGGATTCGGTCATTACGCTGCAGCCTCAGAAAATGCCAAGGAGGATAATGGTCTCTGTCTAGGAAAGCAGCCGGCCTTAGGAAGTGGAGGACTGGGAGACAGGAGGCAGCACTGCCCCAGCAGGCAGAAGGGAGGGAAATGGGTCAAAGAGGCAGCTGAGACTCAGGTTGCACATAAGGAACAGCTCCCTGCAGCGTGGATAATTAAGCAGCCTGGGAACAAGGAACCCAGGAAGGGCATGACCCTTTCCCTAAGGACATTTTAAAGGATGAAAACCCATCTGCCCTGCCTGATGTAACCCTTCCCTACCCTGGATGCAGTAAGATCGGGTGACCTTCAGGGTCCCTTCCAAGCCAAGGACCCCTGGCTCCTAGAAATTGTGCAACCCTCTCAGGTCCAGCAGGCAGGTCTGATATGGCTAGGGTCTGGCGTCTGTCCAGAAGTGACTTAAAGATCCAGAAGGAAAAACCAAGACTCCTTCTCTCTGAACTGTCACCCCAGGCCTGCTGGGCCTGGGCTGCTCTCCTCTGTCTGCTCCCATCCCTGAGTTCATGGTCCCCAAATACCAGGTGTGACATGCCCAGAAAACTCTGCTAATGCCAGTTTCCCAGGGCAGCCCCTGTCACCTAGAGAGCCCCCACCCAGGACCTACCCCTGCCCCATTCACTTTCACAACCAGACCCCAAATGCCTGCTGAATCCCAGAGACAGGGACAGACAGATTCCAATTTCCACTTCTTATCACTGCCAAGATCCTGGTCATCTGAGTACTTAGTGATCAGAGACTGGACACACAGCAGGACAAGACCCAGAAGATAGAGCCTCTGCCAGTAGGCCACCCCACACCGTGGCAGGTTATGCAAATGTGCAGGAAAGGAGGTGACTTTCCCTGACTGCCAGGGCCACCCACTTAAAAAAAACAGCAAGAAGACCAACGATAATAAGGACAAGGTCATCATAAAGCACACGTGGCCAATCGTGAAAACTGGTGAATCTAGGCAAAGAAAAGATGGCAGTTAACGGGGCTATATTGTAACTTTTCTCTCATTTTGAAAGTTGGGATTTTTTCAAATAAAAAGTTAATAAACACACAGAGAACATACAGGTTTCCCTAGACACTAGGATCCTGTGGGATTCCCTTCCTCTCTGTCCCACTCTGGAGCTCAGGAAACCCCAAGCGAGACCCTCGTGTATAGAGGAGCACTGAGGAGCAGGAGGGGCACTAGTTCTTATTCATCACTGTCCCTCATGATCAGCCAAGCGCCCTGAAAACATGTTAGTGCAGGCTTGGGCTCCCTCCAGGATTCCAGAGGCTTTGGGGGAGCCCTCTGGCACCCAGGAAAAGGCAAGAGAGTCCGGGTAGGCTGAGCTGCAAAACAAAGGAGGTGGAAGGGCTGTGGAGAGAGGAGGCTGCAGGCACCTGCAGGCACCCGAGCCCACCCACACCTGCTCAGCCCCTCCCCACCCCCACAAGACCTCACCAAATCTCCTTCTAGATGCAGCGTTGGAACCCAGAGGGAAAAGCCTTAAGCAAATCCCATCACATAAGTACATTGATTTTTCCCAACTGACTTTGACACGATTACAGGGATCTTTGTTTCTTTATTTTGATTCGTCTTGATTGCTTCCTCTCTGGTCTACCTAAAAGGCTGTAATCTCTGAAATTAGAGATTGGCCCTCCCCCATACCAACATCCCAAAAGGGGCATGGCTGGGCAGAGAGGCTGTTACTTCAGCTGCCCCCAGGGACCTGGGGCGAGAGGTGCTGTGGGCTTTTTCTTTGGAAGGTTTTTCTGTGTGTCTCCAGCAGACAGCAGGATGGGGGGCTGGCAGTGCCCAGACGAAGCACAGGGCTGTTCAGTGCTCCAGTGTGAGGGCTGTGACATGCCAGGCCTCCTGATTCTGTGATATAAATAATTAATCCTCTTACATTTGTTCAGACCAAATTAGACATTGATTGGGAAAGGCTTACGCTGACTCCATTTCAGAGGGGCTGGGAGAGGCGATGGAAGTAACAGCAGATGCACTAGAATGTTCCGACCCCCAAGAGGAAGAGGAGCCACAGACCAACAGGAGAAAAGGGAAGGGATGAGAGGAGGTGGGGGCTCTTTGGTTTCCAGCTCCATGCTGTGGCTGGAGTGCAGTGGTTAGAGCCTTTGGGCTTGTGAAAAGGCCCCTCAGAGGGCTGTTTAGTGTGGGAGGGAAGAAGAGGAGGAGGAAAGACTGGCTGGACAGGCTGAGCAAGATGGGAGCAGAGGTCTCTGGTGGAGTGGAGGGAGGGGTACCACCTCCAAAGGCCCTGGCCTTGGGTTCCTGAGGGTCCTACCCCCACAGCCAGCTCCTGCTACAACTCTGAGAGAGCCTCCTCCCTAAGGGCCCCGTCAAAAAAGGCCCAACTTCTCCGAGAGGCCCTAGGGAAGAAAAAACATGGGCCTGCCCATCAGACCCAGTAATCCTGGCCCCAAGCCAGCCCCAGCCTCAGCCCCAGTCCCCTGGTGCTGAAAGCAGCCAGGAGCAGGGGCCTGACTTGGGTAGAGCAGAGCTTCTTCCTGCCCTCCCCACTGCTCCAACCCCCTCGCTTCAGCCGAGTAGAAGAAATAGGGTCTGGACACAGATCCCCGACTGTGTGTCTGAAACTGAATTAATCCACCTCAGGCCGGGGCCGTGCCTGACTATTAAGTCTGGTCATTAAATTAAACTTAGGAATTGAAACGATTCATGAATAACTCATAATGGTTTGTTGGGAAGCTCCTTAAGCTCTCAGGGAGCTATGCTTTGCTCTTGTTGTTAAACCATAATTGTTATTATTAATCGGGTTCTTAATAATTACCCGATATTAATTCAAGATAACCACCGCGTGGTGCCAGCCTAGGTGTTCCATGGGATGCACAGAAGTGGTGTCTTTCGGGACTAGACCAGACTGGGCCAAGAACTGATGGAGGGGAGGGAGGAGATGGGACTCAGTAGTACCAGGAAATATCCAAGAGCACAGGAAGGGGAAGAGAGCGGCCAGCAGCCACAGGGGAGCTGTGGCTGTAGGGCACCATGGTGGAGGTTGAGCAGCCTCTCCATCTTCAGAAAGACACAGCCCTAAAGCAGCCTTGAGCTACAATAGGAGAAACCTGGTTAGAAATTCTGTGATTTCAAAGAGAGGGACTGCTGTCCGTAATAGGATTAATTATACCAGGAAAGTGGTGAGCTCTCTCTCCTTGGAGATCTGCAAGGAAAGGTCCCACCTTCGCACATGTGCACACGCACACACATGTACATGCTCATACCCACGTGCAAAGGCTCACATGCACACACATTCTCAATGCATGCAAGCACCCTTGTGGGGCTGCAGCTCTGCAGACACATAGAAGGGACCTGGTGGCTGGTCCAATGCAGCAATTGCCATCCCAGGGTCAGTCAGAAACAAGCCAAGCCTAAGGCTTTTCAGTCTCTGCCACCTCCATTCTCTGTGGTACTGATTGGCATCTGAGAGAAACCTCCTGTCTGCCCCCCCACACTCTGAATCAAGGTTGATGGAGATGTGACCTTGTAATAATGAAGGCAGATGAGAGAGCAGAGGCTGAGGAAGAATTGGAGCAAGTGCCAACCCTGGGAGAGGTTGAATGGACTTCCAGGGAGAGCAGGAGCACCAGACGGGCTCCGCCCTGAGAGCAGGAGTCAGGACTGAGAGCTGAGAGAGGAGGACATGTGGGAAGAGAGGGACAGGCAGGCACCTCACACCCCTCCCACATCTCACTGTGCTTGAAAACCAAACTTCCTGGGGCCTCAGTTTTCTCTGTGGGTGTAGGGACGTGTGTGTCCACATGCACACTGGTGCATAGGCATGTAATCGTTAGACCTTGAACTCCCAGGGCATAGATTCATATTCATATGTCCAAACATTGGACAACATCCTTGTCCAATGTTTCCCAGGGTAGGGCCTATGACAGAGCTCAGAGCAGGACAGCCAGGCTATTTGGTGTCCAACAGTTGGGTTGTCCATGGTCTAGCCAGGCAGATGGGCTGGCCAGCCCGATAACCAAGATACCTCCCTCCAGAATAACCCACTTGTCAAATGCCACTGACTATGGCCCCAAAGCCCACCGCCTGCATGACCTGTGGGAGGGTGCAAGTCCAACTCCTCCCTGAGCCTTTGAAATAACCCCTGTGCAGAGACAGCCCCTGAGAGAGCTGCTTTCTTGTGGGATGAGGGCATCCAGCTCCCTGAGGGATGGCCTTGCATTCGAGATGCACCCAGCACCCTGGCCTCTATTGCAGATGGGCCAAGCGAGGCCAGATCATCAAGGAGGCCTCTGGGGAGGTGTATAGAACCACCGTGGACTACACATACTTCTCAGAGCCTGTGTCCTGCGAGGTGACCAATGCTCTGGGCAGCACCAACCTCAGCCGCACAGTGGACGTCTATTGTGAGTACAGAAATTGGGAGCTTCTCTGCATGAGCAGAACTGGGTAGTCTCTGACTGGAGGAACCATGGCTGGATTCATTGCATGCAACATAAACATCATGCTTCCCAAGCGTACAGTGCATTGTACTTTGCAAAAAGCTTCCTTGTCTAGGGTTTCATGCTGATTTTGATCTTCAGAATGACCCAGCTCAGACTGCTATAACAAATTACCGTCGTCTGGATGACTTAAACAACAGAAACCAGAGTGCCAGTGTGGTTGGTTCTGGTGAGGGCTCCCTTCCTGGCTTGCAAACAGCTGCCTTCTCACCTGTTATCACCTGGCACAGAGAAAGAAAGGAACCAAGCTCTCTTCTGTCCCTTCTTAGTTGTTGTTGTTTATTCGTTTTCTCAGTATTGAGGATTGAACTCAGGGGCACTCTACCTCTGAGCTACACCCCTAGACCTTTTTTTTTTTTTTTTTTTTTTTTTTTTGAGACACAGACTTACTAGGTTGCCAGGCTGACTTTAAGTCTGTGATCCTCCTGCCCCAGCCTCCTAAATAGCTGGGATTACAGGTGTGTGCCACAGCACATGGCTTCAAGCACATTTTCTAGGGATGGTACTGCCTACTCCTTGTAGACCTAAGAAAGGCTGAGTGTGGGGGACAGGGGTCTCCTTCTCAATTCCCAATCTCTCTCCCAGAACCCAGGTTCAGCCCAGGCAGAAGGGTAAAGGAATGGGCTGAGTGGATTGAGATGGCCCAATACCCTGCTCTTTCCTTTCCTCCTGTCACAATGAGGGGGGGGCAGCAGGAGGGTCGCAGGAGCTCCCCAACCCACCTGAGGCCTCTCTTCTTCTTCCTCCCCATCACAGTTGGACCCAGGATGACCACAGAGCCCCAGTCCCTGCTCGTGGATCTGGGCTCTGATGCAGTCTTCAGCTGCGCCTGGATTGGCAACCCGTCCCTCACCATCGTATGGATGAAGCGGGGCTCTGGCGTGGTGAGTCCACCATGTTGACCCCAGGGGACCTCTGGCAGGATGGGGGCATAGTAGACAGGAGGACCCCTCTCATAGTTAGGTGAGGAGAGTCAGCCTCCAGAAGAGGATCCCATAAAGAAGAGAGGGAACCCAGGTGCCCACCTGTACCCATCTCACCCTGAACACATTCGGCTTTTGCAATCTTGCCCTATGGTGAACCTTATAAAAGCAGGTAATCAGTAATATGGAGTTAGGGGAAGTCACTTGAAAGACTTTTCAGTTCCATCCCAGCCCAAAATGTTACCCCTAACCTTGGAGTTACCCTGTGCTTTCTTCCTGGGGTCTTCTTTTGAAATGTATGTATTCTGTAGTGTTCATGAGTTTGCCAGACGACCCTCCACAGGGACAGCAGTGAGGGCCATGGGTCAGGAAGGAGAGGGAGACAGAAGGAACTGAGCCTCTGAGACGGCCAGTAACCGACCAGAGCCACACGGGTATTAGCTGCCAGAGCCAGGACTCAAACACTGACCTATCTAATGCCAAAATCTACTTTCCTGTCATCGCCCCAAACTGTGTCCCAAAGGGATACTGAACATGACTCAGACAACACAGGTCCAGGACCCTCTGCCATTCAGCCACAGGGTAATCTCATCCATGGCCAGCCTGGGAGAGGATGAGCCATTGAAGGTAGAGGATGGTCAGCATCCCCTCTCTCTGGGAAAGCTGGGGGTACCCAGCCAAGGAGTCCTCCCTCCGCACACTGCCCACAGGGCTGCACCTGGACGTACTGCAGCAGCGTCTCTGTGTAGGTGGGGGCTGCTCTCCACATCCACAGGGCCCAGTCTGCCTGCTGCCTTCCCACCCGGGCTTTTACCAGGACACTGTCACCTACTTAGTACCAGGCCTGCCTCTCAGCCATCAAGTTGAGAGACAAAAAGAGAGAATCCACCCCCCCTCTTTATGTCTGACCCTCCCCCATTTTTCCAGGTTCTAAGCAACGAGAAGACCCTGACACTCAAATCTGTCCGCCAGGAGGATGCTGGGAAGTACGTGTGCCGGGCCGTGGTGCCCCGGGTAGGAGCTGGGGAGCGTGAGGTGACCCTGACTGTCAATGGTAAGACCCCCAGGGGGGTGGGCTGGGGCAGAGGGTGTACCAGGCATTGCCCCAAAGGGACTGTCACTGGCTCTGGGCCTTGCTACCACCTCCAGCTATGGTCCTCAGTAGTTATGTCTGCCCCTTTTGGAGTCCTGGTCAGAGCCAAGTTTGGAGGTGAAGAAGAGCCTGGGGGGTTTTCTGATCACATCTCTCCTTTTTGTTATGTTTAAAGGGGTCTCATAGTAGCTGATGATTTTTTTATCCTGGACAGGAAAAGAGTCAGAGGTCACCTTGTGACCATATCCCTTGTCTGCCCTTTGATCTTGACCTGGCCCATGGGGATTTTAAAGGCACATCCCCCACTTTTATGGCTAGACTCTTCCCATCACACAGAGCCACTCAGCCATGGAGAGCTGTCACCACCCCAGGGATCAGGTGTGGAGGGGCCTCTTGAGGGCAAGGAACATGTCTCACTATACACAGCGACAATAATGACAGCAGGACAGTGTTGTAATAGTGGGAGTCAGTCAATAGCTAGGGTAGAGGGGCAGGATCTTCAGATCAGATCTGGCTGCCGATGTGGGTGGCCATGGAGAAGCTGGGACATAGCCCAGGCCAGACCCAAGAAGCTGTGGTGCCAAAACAGAAACCCCAACGTCCCCACTGTGATGTGTGCTTGGGCTGTGATAAAGCTACCCATTGGAGAGGGTGAGAGACACCAAGGCCATGTCCCTCAGCCACCTCCAAGGGTTTGACCCCATTTCTGGTATGTTCATGATCCTTTGGGAGCCCCCTGCTCCCACCAAAGGCTGCCTGGGATCAAAAACCTAAGCCACAGACCCAGCTGTGTAGGCCTCTAGATCTGGCTCCAGAGCAGGGGCCTGGGAGGGGACTTGCTGAGGGAAATCAGCCTGTTGGCTTCATCTCCACCCAGGGAGCTGCCCACTGACAGCCTCATCTAGTCTCCCCCTTTGCTAGAGAACTAAAACCAGCTTGGTGCCTCCTCAGCATCCCCCTCTGCGTTCCCATTAGCCAGCTTCCATTCCAGGTGTATTTCCTTTCCCCTGCCTCCCCGACAGGTATGGCAACCCCAGAGAGAGGGTGAATCTGCCCAGACACCAGAGCGTTCACAGACCACCTGTCCAGGGCAGAACCCCAGCTCCAGAGCGCTCCAGCCTTCCTGTGTGTCCCCAGGATGCCACCAATAAATTGGCACTGCAGGGCTAAAAATAACAGCATCTGATCGCGCCTCCGTATATCCATGGCAACACAGGCTGCAGCCTTTTCCTGCCGTGCCAGTGTCTGACACTCGGCTCAGTGCACCAGGCCACAGTGAACCAGCCATCTTCCCACTGCCCACTCTGGGGAGGGCGCTGGGGAGTCCGGCTGTCCACGCCTGCTGCCAGCTGCAGTCCACACGCCTGGGACCCTCAGACTCACAAGTGCCTTCCAGGGTCCTGGAGCCAGAAGCTATTAACTGAGCATCCTCGTTTCTGGGGAAAAGGGTGAATAAGGAGGGGCTGACATCTTTCTGTCACTTGTAGACAGAAAGCACTTTAATGGAAATTAAAAGAGGTTTTGTTTTGTTTTGTTTTGTTTTTAAAGAGTAGAAATCCCCACCCCAACCTGCACCCTGGGGAACTCAAGCTTTGGGCTGGACACAGCAGCCTGGGCCCTGGCATTCACCTGGGGTTTAATTTTTCCATCTCTCTCTCAACCTCCATGTCTTTCAGCCAGTGCCTCCCCTAGGTTGCCAGGCAGAGAAAGGCTGAAGGGACTGAAGTACGGAAACTGCTGTTTACTTCTGCCAGTCTAGGGCTGCCTGGCACTGGGGCAGGAGGCTGGATGAAGTGGCTCAAGGAGAGGAGCCTGCCAAGCCCCCTTTTGTCTCCAGCTTTGGAAAATAGGTGGACGGGTAGTGAAGCCCTCAGACAGGGGCCAGGCATGTGTCAAAGGCATGTGATGGCATAGAAGCATCCAGAATGAGCTGAGTTCCCATCACAATAAATCCCTGTTCCTGGGCACCTGCAGGCCAGAACCCTTTGGGGAATAAATTGGCACGGATCTCAACTGAGCTTGCTTAAACCAGGTAGCTGCAGGAAGGGGAAGATATTTGCCATTGGCTGACTCCCCCAATCCCATTTTTTTTTTTATCCTGGCTTTTGTTTTCACTTAAGGAGCCCATAAATGCATAGGCATTTGCTGATAGTTTCTAGAATCTTTCGAACCCCTCTGGGAATTCCTAGTTCCTGGGAAGTGAAAGGAAAAGATTTTATGGTATCATCACTGTTTAGCCCAGCAGCAAATCAAAGAACCATCCATGTTCCAAAAACATAGAGTCTCATCTCTTTGGACCAAAGGTCTCTTGGAGCTAAAGAGATTTAAAGGTGGAAGGCAGGGCTCAGCCCACTCTTACAGCCATCTGAAGGCGGAAGCCCCTGCCCTGAGGTTACCCACCTCTTCCCAAGCCCTTTGTACCTAACCTCAAGAGAAGCCTTGGGAGTGGCTCCCAATACCTTTTTTCCCTTGGCTGAGAGCCACTCATGGAAATGCAAATCTGTTTTAATTAAGGTGGCTAATAAACAGCAATTATGTTTGCAGCGATTTTTGTTTTGTTCCCAGCATAATTTTGCACATTCTCCCCATCATTACTTTTTCTGTCTTTCCTAGGACATCAACCCTGAGATGGGGAAGGGAGTTCAACCACACCCCATCCCCAACCACTTATCCCAGCTAGAAAATTAGCTGAGCAAATGGTTGTAGTAGCTGTTTCTCTTTCCCACTTTCAATGTCAGGTTGGGATCACACAGAAAAGACTTAGGTTAGATAACTGGCAGAACTGGAAAAGAAGCACTATAGACAAGTTCTGCTTCGGGTGGACTCTCCCTGTTGCCTTATGTGCTAAATGTGACAGGCACTCTCAGAACTTGCCACCCATAAACATGCCGTACCTGCATGCATATTGAATGGGATAATATTGAGGTCAGTTTTAGAGCTGTGGTCTCACTAGGGCCATCTACGTATGTGTGTGGAGACAACTACAGGATCTACTGAGACACACATTGGATTAAGATAGTGAACATGGGGCTGGGGACATGGCTCAAGCAATAGCACGCTCGCCTAGCATGTGCAAGGCACTGGGTTCGATCCTCAGCACCACATAAAAATAAAATAAAGATATTGTGTCCACCTAAAGCTAAAAATAAATATCAAAAAAAAAAAAGATTGTGAACATGGCCAACACATGTCACCTATCCTGGGTGATTTTGGCCCCTGGTAGAGGGACAGCACCCTTTTTCTTCCTCTGGAGGAACCTGGCCGAATACAGCCAGTTTGTTAGGCAAGAGCGCCCTCTACTGGAGAATTGAGAAATGGCTTGAACTCTAACAGCTGCCTAGGCCGGCGACATTCATTAGGGCTGTTTTCCTTCATCATGACACCTGCCCCCATTCTGGAGCTTCCCAGGTTCACCACCTCCTTCCTAAAGCTTTCCCAGAGCGCCAGATAGAATTATTCTCTCTCCCCTGAAGTCGGTTGGCAGTTTATCTGCACTGCTTCTGTGCTATGAACGCTCACCACCTTTTATTACAGTTATTTATGTCTTCTGGGGATTCTGACTTAGAAGCATTCACTCATGATCCCTTGAGAGGTTTACGACTTAATGCCTAATTTATCTTCAAGTCGCCTACCTTGCACTCTACCTTGCACATGTGAGCCTTCCGTAAATGTTTGCTGAATGCTTGGATTAATGAATACACTTTTGAACCCACCACAGAGGGTGCCAGCTGGAGACCTGCCCTTCCTGGATCCCTAATGTGTTGCTGTCTCCCCAACAGGACCCCCCATCATCTCCAGCACCCAGACCCAGCACGCCCTCCACGGTGAGAAAGGCCAGATCAAATGCTTCATCCGGAGCACACCGCCACCAGACAGAATAGTGAGTGCTCCAGGGAACAAGGCAGGCCTGGCGCCCCGACCCCCAGCAGCCCAGGGGTCACCTCTGCCAAGAGCCCAGCAGTCAGCCAGTGGGGATACACCTCCCAGACTCACTTTCCTCAAGGAAAATCATACCTACCTTCTCTCTCTTGAGAATCCATCCTGAGAACAATTACAGGCAACCTCCCTTCTTGGATCAGGAGTGTTCCCAGGATGTGTCTGCCATTTGGCTGAGCTCAGGGTTAATGATTCTAACCAAATCTGCATCCTGGGAAAGAGGGGAAAAGATGAATGATTTCTTCTCTTTCCTGGGTTCAAGGCCAGTCTGGCAAATTCATAAGCTGAGTGGAGTTTATAGTTGGCTACTGCTTTCTGTGCCTCCCAGAGCCCTTCTCTTAAAGAGTCTCTTCTGCCCTTAATGGCAACAGGGAACCCCTCGTCCTGCACCATAAGTGCACCCCTCTGAAATGACTGATCCATTCTTCCCTTCCTCCAGCTGTACCCTGCAAGACAGTCAAGGCACTCTGTGAAGTGTTGCCCACCCTTGCTCCCACTCCCAGGTGTTTGCATTTTTTTAAAGAGAGGGTCTTGCACCCAAATCCATCTGAAATTGGCAGAAGCTCAGGCATGAAAGTAATGAAAAGAGAGCACTCGGTAGCGCAATTGGGGAAAAGATATTATTTCAGCAATCCCCAATGCCTAAGAGAGTCCTGCTGTAAGACTGCCCAGGGTCAACTCCACAGGGAAGTCCCTCCTTTCCACAGGGCAGCAGTGCCTGGAGAGTGGTGTCGGGTGGGCCAGGTGCTGAGCTTGTGAGAGCCTGTGTATGCCTGAGACATCAGTCTGTGCAAATAGTAACTGTCATCTTAGTAAACTAAGATTTTATTAGAATGTTATTGCTCTTACACATTTTCTCAGGCATTCGGTTCATTCATTGTTTGAAAGATTCACCAAAAGATTGTAAAAACTCACACATTGAACTAATACCTATGCCTCTCCATTCACTTTACTTTTTAATTTTTAAAAAAATTATAAATGTAAGCCCACACATCTGTAATCCCAGTTATTCAAAAAGCTAAGGCAGGAGGATCACAAGTTTGAGGCCACTTACTGAGACCCTGGGGCAACTTACTGAGACCCTGTTTCAAAACAAAATATAAAAGTGCTGGGGGTGTAGCTTACCAGTAGATTCCCAGACTTACCTAGCACTTGAGAGGCCCTGGGTTCGATCCCCAGCACCACACACACATAATTCATAAATATAACACATGCCCCTTGTAAAACATCCCATCCAATCACCCTTGAGCATTTTCACACCATCGTTCTCTCACAGATACTTAACTGTAAGCTAGTGATTCTCAAGTGGCAATTTGTCCCCCAGGGGATATTTGGCGGCATCTGGAGACATTTTTGGTTGTCACAACTTTGAAGGTTGATGCTGGTGTCTTAGTGAGTAGAAGCCAGGGCAGCTGTGAACAGCCTGCTGAGCACAGGGCAGCCCCAGCACTAAGAAGGGGCTGGTCCAGAGTTTGAAAAGCCCTGCTCCAGCTCACCTGGATGGAGCCTCTGGGCACTAACTGGCACGACTGAGTTCCCATGAACACTGCGAGCCGTTGTGTGCAAGAGACACGTTGAGGTGTTTGCAATGTTCATGGAATGACTCTGAAAACAATTAAATTATCTTCCCTGTAAACTTTTGAAAAGGCCAATTCACAACACTAGATGAATCATTCTGGGCTACCTCAGGCTGAGTGAGTTAGCAGCATGGCACAGGGTGCCCTTGAGGAGGTCCACATGGGAGAAAGACACACACAGGGCTCAGCTTGTCACCATAAGAGTCCCTCTTTGCCAGAAAATGTTCCAAATGCAGTTGTGCATAAGGCCCTCCTTGGAAGGAAATGGCCTCTGAGATGGCCCTAACTTCTGTGTATACATGCGTATATGTGTTTGTGATGTGTATACATGTATGTGTATAGTGTGCTATATATGCACGTATATATGTGTGAATATATGCTGTGTGTGTAGTGTATATACATGTAGTACACATATATGTGTATAGTGCAGTGTGTATGCATGTGTTAGTAGTGTGTGGTATGATAGACACACACATGTACCTGTATATATACATATTGGTGATGTGCCTATATGTGTGTGTTGTGATGTTTATACATGTTTCAGTATGTGCAGGTGTGGATGCATGTTTGTGGTGTATGGTACATGTGTGTACCATGATGTGGGTGGTATGCTATGTGTATACATGCATGGTGATGTGTGATGGTGTGCACTGTTTTATGTATGTGATGTGTGTGCAAGTATTCATGTGTACACATATTGGTAGTGTGTGGCAGTAAGCATGAACTTGAGCCTGGCCGTGTCAGTGCCTGGGGTGGGGAGGTGACATTGAGGTCCTGGCATGGGCAGCCTATAGGGGTCTCCTACTAACTCTGGGCACCCTGGCAGGCCTGGTCCTGGAAGGAGAATGTGCTGGAGTCAGGGACGTCTGGGCGCTACACAGTGGAGACGGTCAGCACGGAGGAGGGTGTCATCTCCACCCTGACCATCAGCAACATTGTCCGGGCGGACTTCCAAACCATCTATAACTGCACCGCCTGGAACAGCTTTGGCTCTGACACCGAGATCATCCGGCTCAAGGAGCAAGGTGAGGGCCACCAGGGCCACCAGAGCAACTTGGGGACCAGCAGGGTGCAAGGCAGGTCCGAGAACCAGTCACAGCATTCTTTACCTGCCACACAGCCCCGACTGGCTCCTCTCTGAGGCAAGGGGCACCAGCCCCATCAGGAAGCCAGAAGGGGAAGAAATTTCTGGGAGTGGCAGAATACTTCAGGGAAAGGTGACCACAGAACGAGCTGGGCTGACTAGTCTTGTTGAGATGCCCAGAAGCTTCCAAAGGCCCTGGCCCCCACACCCTCTGCCCTTCCTTGTAGGCGCTGGTCTGATGCCAAAGTGCCCTTATGACAGGATAGAAGTCCAGCAGGGGGTGCCAAGCTAAAACTGGGGGGGTGCCTGAGGGTCCAGATCCCTGGTGTGGGGAGGCAGGACCCAGACCATCAGCAGTTCCAGGGCTAGACACGTGGACCACAGAGCTATAAAAGGAAAAAAGGGTGCAAAACAGCCAGGTTGGCATGAAGGGAGGAAAAAGAGTCCCCCACTGTGACCCCATGCATAGACTGTCCCAGCTCCTTGTCAGACAGGTGCTAAGAACTCCAGTCTCTCAAAGTTCCTGGGCACCAACTACCAGGTGGAGAACCTCAGAGGGCCACTGAGGGCTGGTTGCAGAGAAGCTCCACATGCAGCCAGCAGCGCCGCTGCTCCTGAAATGGGCCGTGGAACTTGCCCCTGGGCCAGTCAGAGCTCAGCCAGGGAGGTCCAGGGATGGTGTTCAGCCAGGTTGGGCCTCCCGAAAAAAGATTCAGGGCCAAGCAGTTGGTCCCAGCTGAGCCCCTGAGGCCTCTAGGGATCACATGGCGATCGCACCTAAGGGTCAAATCTCAGAGTGTCTCCTACCTCCTCTACCTTAATAGGAGCTGCTTTGCATAACGCTTTGCACATAATTTGCATAATATCATCCACCTGTCATCCTAACCCTCCTGGCCCCCTGTTGCCTACCCTCCTTGTCTTCCCCTCGGTGCCCCACCCCCGTGCCCTCACCTTGGTGTTTTCACCCACCCTCACACCCCCTCCCAGGCTTGACTTTTCTCTCTCCACCCCCCTCTGGAGTGTCCAAGTCAGTATGAATGAACTCCAAGTTCAGTTGGGCGAGCCTGGATCTCTGGGGCAGTCCAGGGATGTGATGGAGGAGGGAGCCCCCCTTGCCCCAGCCCCCTCCAGGTGGCCAATCCCCGCCCACCCCACCCTGGCCAGCCAGGCCCTGGCTATGGACGCTTGCTTTATTTCCAAACAGGTTCAGAAATGAAGTCGGGAGCCGGGCTGGAAGCAGGTACGGAAGGAGATGTTGAGAACTTCCCTGGGATGGGGGAGGGACTTCTTGGCTAGTGGGGGAGGGGACTGACATGGGGTAGGGAGGCCTTAGCAGGCCACTAACATCCCTGCCCTCCCTACATGGAGGGCTTAGTGCAGTCAGAACAGGGGGAGAGGGCCTCCCAGCCAACTGGGGTCTAGGGACCCCAGAGACCTGTCTCTGTCTGCTGCCATGGCCCCAGGGCTCCTTCCTCCCCAGGACACTGGCTCCGCTCCTGTCCCCTCCATTCCTTCTTTCCCTTCTCTTCACAAGCCCCAGCCCCTGGCCCCCCTGTATTTCCAAGCTTCCCCGACTTCTCCACATTGCCTCCTAGGAAGCCTGCCTCCCAATCCCTGCTGCAGCTTGCTTCACCCTGCTTGCTGGCATTCCGCCTCCTCCCCCATGAAGTGTCATTTCACCACCAGGCCGAGGCTGCTGGGCAATGCACACACCCAGCCCCCACACCCCCTGCATCTGCAGCAGAGTGGTCATCAGACTCCTTGGACCGAGTTGTTCTGTCTAGACACTTGTACATACATACACACACACACACACACACACACACACACAACCAAGACAGGGTAAATCAGACTCCACAGGGCCAAATAAGTTCTCACCAAGGACTCAGGGGGTCTTCTATCTCAGTTTTCTGCCCATACTGGCCCCTGGCCCATGTTACCCCTCCAGGTGGGCCCACATACCTCTCCTCTCTGGGTACAGTCCAGGGCACGGTCAGCTCACAGCCAACCCATCCAGCCCACACAGAGCTGGCCCCTGCTCTACTATCTGGACTCCCTCACCTCTGGTAGCTCCGTCCTGTCTCCATTCCATGTCTGTCTGTTCGCACTCACCTGGAGTTTTCTGACACTGTCTTCCCACAGTGTCTGAGACTCCTCATGCCCAGTCTCCCTCCTTGGATGGAGTCGAGGCTGAGAGAGGGCAGCTGAGAGAGTGCAGCTTCTCCTCCCCACTCCTTGAGGAGGAAGAGGAACTGCCTGCCCAGGCTGCCTAGGCCAGACTCCGGAGGCCAGGCAAGGAAGAAACACCAGGAAGAGGAGGGATGCCACCCAGAGCCCTGCCCCACCCAGGCCCCCTCCTCCTCCACCCTTGCCCACCTGCTTGGAAACACTTCTCCAACCAAGATGGCAGCTCCCTCACCCTGGAGCAGCTGCTAACTACTCCAGGAAACACAGACTCAAGAATGCCACGAGGCAGAAAGGACCTTAGATACTACTGCCCCAGCTCTGTGGATTTACAGATGAGAATCCGAGTCCGGGGATGTGAGGACGAGTTATGACCTGGCTCTGAGTTCAGCTGAGACAAGCCCTGAGTTTTTCCAGGAAAATTTACTAGGAATCAGAGGTCAACCAAATCAAACCTCAATTTATAAATTTGAAAAGCAGAGAACCAATGAGTTGTCAAAGCAGTTTTCCTTTCCTAATGGAATTAAACCAAGAGACAGTAGCATTTGTTTGTCAAAGCAAACTCCCTGAGGTCATGTCCCTTTCCTCGTTCCTGACTGTTAAAAAGCAACCCAGATGCTTCCCTTTCCAACCTGAGTGTTTGCTGTCCCCACTTCCTGCTGGTCACGTCCTCTGTCACTTCTGCAGTGGTCTCGGCCACCCATAGGTAGATAACACATGGGTTAGTGTGCAGGTCCAGGGTGGCAAAAGAATGGACCAGCTTAATCACACGCTGCCAACAAAGAGGCACCAGCTCCTGCGGGTTAGTGTCCCCACCACCTTCCGCACCCTTCCAGCAGTGCCTTGGGGACCCAGGTGCAAGGGTTTGTTCATCTCATCCTATCAAGAAAACACCCAGGGATGAGGGTGGTAGAGTATTAACCGAGCATGCGTGCGCCCTGGGGTCCATCTCCAGCACCACGGAAGGTGGACCACAGTCCAGAGCAAACACCACACTGTCACAAAGTCCATCCACACTGATGAAGGTGGGGAGGGGGGCGACGAGGCTCAGTCTTTCAGAGGAGCGTGCTTCTCCTTAAGGTTGTGATCTGCTATAGTCAGCCCTTCCTGAACAACAACAGGAACAAACACTGGCATTAGGGCTGGGTGCCGGGCCCTGCTCCAAGGCCTTCCTACACGGTCCTTCGTCTCAGCCCCGCAATAACCTTCTGAGGCCAGCACTATTATTACCCCCCTTTTACAGACAAGAGAAGTAGAGTTAGCTTGGAAGAACTAATGGATCCAGGACTCCAGCAGCCAGCAGTCTGGGCTGGATAGTACATGTTAAGATTTGGAGGATGCCATGTGACACAGTGGACTGAGCTGGATGAGATGGGAGCAGTAGGAGGAGACCTGGATTTACCTTGGCTCTACTGCAGCTGTGTGTCTTTGACCAAATCACTTGACTTTTCTGGGGCTCAGTATCTCTGTCTTCAAATGGAAACCTTGGATTCAGTGAGCCCCAAGGTCACCGGCCCCAACATTCTCTAGTTCTATTCCTGATGTTCATTTGGGGGGTTCCAAATTGTGTTCAGGCCACATATCAGTCATAGAAGGGCCAGGGCTGTCTGGTAATGCAACCCCTCTTCACCCCCCAATCCCCACAGCTGGGCCAGGGGACAGACTGCAGGCAGGGACTGGGGGCTGGCCCAGCTGGGCTTCCCAAAATGCTCTCACACTGCAACAGGTGCCAGGTGCTCAGAGAGCTGGAGGAGCAGGCCGGTCAAGGGAAAAGGTCATTTCTCCTTAGAGAAGTGAGGTAGGGAACTCTGATCCTGCCCCCCTGGCTCCTGAGATATGGACACCTGGGGGCTCCAACCCAGGATGCCCCGCAGGCCCTGAGGGGAGGCTGCCTCCAACCTGAAAACTCACAGCTGGGTGTTCACACGTATCCTCCATGTACCTGGGGAAAGGAAGAGAAGGAAGGAACAAACTGGACAAACAAGGGCTGTGACCATAGTCATTTTTCAAAGAAAAACCAGGACTTTGACTCACCAGCCACCACATGACAAATTCCTTGTTTAATGCCAAAGAACAATAAATTACGCCAGCCTCACCCTGTATTTGCAGTGTTCCTCTCCCCCGCCCTCCCTTCTCTGTGTCTGCTCCAGCGTTTGTCCCTCCTTCCTGTTCCTCCACACTCTCCCCTCCACTTTGTGTCCTCCACCCCCATCTCCACAGTCCCACTCAGAGCTGACTCTGGGGGGACTCTGCCTGTGCCTTTCCAGGCCCCACCAAGGTATTACCCAGAAGGGCCCATGTGGCAGTGGTCTGGCCCCAGCTTGACAGGGGCTGCACGGAAGGGGACTGGGTGAGGTCCTGGGGGGACAGTGTCCTGTCCCCTGTCCCTCATCAGCCGTGCCTGCTTCTCTCCCACAGAGTCTGTGCCGATGGCCGTCATCATCGGGGTGGCCGTAGGAGCTGGTGTGGCCTTCCTCGTCCTAATGGCAACCATTGTGGCCTTCTGCTGTGCCCGTTCCCAGAGAAGTACGGGAGGGAGACCCGGGATCTCAGGGAGGGGGACAGAGAAAAAGGCCAGGCTTAGACTTCCCCGGAGAGCAAGTAAGCAGGAGTGCAATGAACCCGGGCCCTAACAGTGCTGTGAGCTCCTGGGGCAGGGATGGGTCTGACGTGGTCATTTCACTTGCAGTGCCTTGTGGGGTGTCTGCACTCAGTGGGCATGCAGATGAGGTTGAACTGCACTAGACTGACCTTCATCCAGCATGGGAAGGCAGCCAACAATTTGGGTTGGACAAATATGCCCCTCTCGTCACGGAGAGTATACAGATCCGGGGGAAAGAAGTGGCTTGCTCTGCCAGGGCTGCAAGTCTAACCTGAAAAGCCAGTCACCTACCCAGGGGGGAAAAAAAACATTCAAGGAATTGCTCTGAAGAATCCTCTGCACCCAGATCTCCATACTGGGCTTAGCTGACAGACAGGTGCAAGGGGAAGACAGAATGGCAGAAGTGAAGGCAGTAGAGGTGCAGGCCCCTAGTTCCACCTCTTCCTCCATGTGATTCAGGGAAAAACCACACCTATTCCTGGCCTCAGTTTCCTCATCTGTGATATTAAGGGGTTGGATGACTGAAGTTTTACGACCCTACTTGGCTCTAAACATCGATGAGCAGAAAGCACAAAGTGAATCACCAATATTATAAGTCTGCTCCTTCCACCACTCAGCCCTTACATGTTGGAAGGAATCCAGGGTTCCCCTTAACATTTTCTCCAGTCTAGCTAAGCAGCCCTGGTTCCCATGATTACCCCCAATTATGCTCTCTCAGGACCTCTCTTACTGCCTTCCAATAGAAATTATAGAAGAATATATTTTAGCAAGAATTTTCTCAGAAAGCTCTCCAGCTAGAAACAGGCTACCTCTTGTAGAAAGAGTAAAGTTTCCATCATGGAAGCTTCAACAGGAAAAACTGGACCCCTGTGTGTTTGTTTCTGCTCTGGGTGAGGGGTTGGCTATGAGATCTTAAGGTCCATTCTGACACTAAGTCATGGTTCTATGAATGGAGAGAATAGAGCCTGATAGAATAGGTCAGAGAAGCTTCTAGAAGGAAGTAAGGATCAGTAAGGTGGATGATGGATGAGGACCGCCTCTCCAGCCAAGGGGAAATGCCTAAGGTGCATGCATCAGGGAGCCAGGCGGCCCGTGTGTGGCTGGCCTCTCTGGAGGCCCACATAGTCCACAGCATATCCACCCAGATGTTCTATGGGCAGGGGGTTGGGGGGCGGCTGGTGAAGCTGCTGAGTTCAGGGGTTGAAGGGAGGGTAAATCCTGCAGGGTGGTGGGGTGAGGGGTGGCATCAGGCAATTATGGGGGAGCATGACATCTTGGGCCTTGATCCCTGAGGGTGAGAACTGAATTTGTCGCCTGCACTTTCCTATTTTATGTCCAGACCTGAAAGGGGTTGTGTCAGCCAAAAACGATATCCGAGTGGAGATTGTCCACAAGGAGCCTACCTCCGGTCGGGAGGCAGAAGAGCACTCCACCATCAAGCAGCTGATGGTAAGAATGCTGCCCATTCTCCACCATACCCTGTGACCATGTCCCCAGAAGGTCCTGGGATTGGAGGCTTCTCAATGTCCTTGACACTTCTGAGAAGCAGAGCATCAGTCGAGATGCTCTACAACAGATCAGGCACACAGTCTCAACCAACAGACATTTATTTGTGGGCCTGTTATACTGCACCTGGTGATCTGGGAGACTTGAAGACATCTAAAGTACAGTCCCTGCCCGCAGGAGAGTCCATAGGCTTAAATTGCCATAGTACGTTGCTATATATAATTCCACACACATAGATATAATAGACACTCAGTACATTCCTCTTCTCTCTCCTTCCCCCAAAACTTGTCCGTAAGAAGCATAGGTTCCTCTTTGGGAACTGGATTGCCCACCAGAAGTAAACTCAGAACCTCTCCAGTGATATAAAGCCTGCTGTACCTCTTCTTTTTTAAAAATTTTTTAATATTTATTTTTTAGTTTTGGGTGGACACAACATCTTTGTATGTGGTGCTGAGGATCGAACCTGGGCCACACACATGCCAGGCGAGCACGCTACCGCTTGAGCCACATCCCCAGCCCTGTACCTCTTCTTGATCCCTCTTCATGACTCAGAATCCACCTTACTGTCCAGGCAAAAGCCTAGACAACTGTGTTAGTCAGCTTTTCATTACTGTGACAAAATATCTGAGAAAAACAACTTGAAGGAGGAAAGATGTATTTTGGCTCATTATTTCAAATCCATGGTTAATGGCTCCAGTATTTCTGGGCCTGGGGTGAGACAGAGCATCATGGCAGAAGAACATGGCAAAGCAGCATGTGGAGCAAAACTGCTCACTTCAGGGCTGCTAGGAAGCAGAGAGAGAGCAAGGAAGTGGTCAGGGGTAAGATAGACCCTTCAAAGGCACACCTCCAATGGTACACTTCCTCCAAGGTGCCACCTTCTACAGTTTCTACCACCTCCCAGTAATGCCATCAAATTCTGAATCTATCATTGGATTAATCCACTGTTGAGGTTGGAACCCAAAACCCCACCGCTGAACATTGTTGCACTGAGGAGCAAGCCTTGGATACACGAACCTCATAGTAATGAGGGTTGTTACCTAGGTCAGGAGATGAAAGGAATGAGGGGATGAAGGTCTCCCCAAGGGGAAGCTAGCCACAGGGCCCTCAGAAAGTCCCTTCTGCCAAATACCCCACTACTCTTACCAAGATACCCAGTGAACCCCACTCTTTGCTGAGGGTGTAGAATTGTCTGAGACAGACAGAATATTTTAATCGGAGAGAACTCAAAGGCCCATTTGGGAAGAAGAATTCCAGATCCAAACTATAACAACTATGCTCGAAACTTGAGGTGCATATTGTCATGGTAGTAATGTGCTGGAGTAGCAACAGCAGAGCAAGGGGTAAAGAGCTTCAGGGTCCCCATCTATGAAATGAGCATAAGATACAGGGCCATGGTGAGGCCCTGAAGAGCTCAGAGCCCATGAATCAGTACAGTTGTTCCTTGGTATCTGTGGGGATTGGTTCCAGGACCCCCTAATGATACCAAAATCTTAAGATGCTCAAGTCTCTTACATAAAATTGTGTAGTGTTTGCATATAATGTGCCCAATCCTCCCATATACTTTATTTTCATTTATCTATTTATAAGTTTCTTGTTTTGCAATAGTGGGGATTGAACCCAGAGGCACTCTACTACTAAGCTACGTTGCCAGCATTTTTTTTTTTTTCAATTTTGAGTCAGTGTCTTACTGAGTTTCTGAGGCTGGACTTGAACTTTTGATCCTCTTGCCTCCCAAATTGCTGGGATTACAGGTGGAACCAGCCTCCTCCCATATACTTTAAGTCATCTCTGGATGAGTTAAATACCTAATACAATACAATGTAAATACTATGCAAATAGTTGTTACATAGTGTTGTTTAGGGAATAATGACAACAAAACAGTCTGTACACATAACTTTCTTCCCAAGTGGTTTTTGATCCTCAGTTTGTAGAATCCACAGAGCAGAACCTGGGGATATAGACAGCTTACAGTGAATGCTCAGTAAATGTTAGTTACTTGTGTTGCTCTAAAATTACCCACTAGATGGTGAGCAACTACTATCTTGTTCATCCCTGGCAGGGGCTCACAAATGTTTATTGAATTGAACCGACTTTTCCCTCTGCTACTCTTTCTCTATCCAATTGATTTTTAGGGACTGTCAATTCCACCTCAAAAATTGTCTCAAATGTGTATCCCGCCTCCCCTGAGCTGTCACTTCCTTATCTCAGGCCTCATCCTCACTCCTCTGCAGAAGCCTTTTAATTGATTTTAGCATTTGCCACTTTTCTCAACCTATCCTTCTGAGCCCTATCAAAGGGTTCTTCCAGAATGCAAATCTGATCTCCTGATTATCTTACTTCAATCCCTCATTGGCTCCATGTCTACTGGATAAAGTCCAGCTGTCCAGCATGTCATCAGACCCTTCCTGCAAGGCAGCTGCCAATCTTTCTAGTTCCATCTCCTGGCCAACCACATCTGGCTCTCCAGACACACCAAAGAGACACACCTGATCTTGGAGTCCTTTATACCTGGAAGGCCTATGCACAGCCCTGTCAACTTTTTTTTTCTTTGAAATTTTACATTCTCTTACAAGAATCAGCTCAAATGTCATCAACTCCATGATATTCTGTGCTTGCTGGCCCCCTGCCCCACTGACGGTGAGCTACACACCTTCTACTCTTCCCAAACACTCTGTGCGTGCCTCTTCCATAGTGCATTGTTCTAATTACACCTTACCCCACCACCAATTATCCCTGAGCTCCTCAAGGACAAAGGTCATGTTCTGAGTCTACACTTCTCTATTACCCCCAGGGGCTAACTTAGCACCTCACTTAATAGAGTGTTTTATTTACAAGGAAAGGAAACCACGGCCTAGACTTGAGCAGGAACCAATGTCTCTGTAGTTAAGCTTCATAGATCTATCCTTCCCGAATGGGCCATTGAATTCCCTCCATTGGAACATTCTGTCTCAGACAATTCCACATCCTCAGAAAACAGTAGGGGTTGCTCAGTATCCCAGTAACACCAAGCGGGTGTTTGGCAGAAGGGACTTGCTGAGCCTCTGCTGCTAGCTTCCCCTGGGGGAAATCTCATTCTTCCTTCCTTTCACCTCTTGACCTTGGAAACAGCCCCATCATCCAGGGGAGGTAGGTTTAGAAGTTGAGTGTGGTGGGAAACAACTCTAATCCAGATAGAGCTGGAGCATTTATTGCGAAATGGGGGGTAAAAAAAGTAGTAGTAGTAATAGTGAGGCAGTAACAAGATGGAACCACATTGGCTGGTTCTGTGGATTTCAAAAGGAGAGGAGGAAGTTCCTGCAAGAGAGAAGGAACTTCCTGCTGAGAGATTATGTGGGAACCTGGCCTAGACCATGGACTTAGCAGAAGTGATACTTGGGAGGTATCAGTTGTGTCACAAGTGAGGCATCACTGTGGTTATTCAGATTACTGCAAACACCCACTGTGTGCAAGTATGCTCTGTTTTTCATCTTATGTCTAGTGACTATTCTCAGTGATTGAGAACTAAGCTGCTTCACTCATTCAGTCATTCAACATAAATCATGATATTTGAAACAGCCCTACTGTTTATCTGGCACTGTGCTATGCCCTGTGAATCCAAGAATTAATATATCCCATTACAAAAGTCTTCTGGTCAATGACCACAATATGCAAGGAACTGGACCAGATGTGGATGGAACCCAAACAGAGCAAGAAGTGGTCCTCCATCTTAAGTGGTTTGATAACTGTTAAGGAAGATAACTTTCCAATGCATCTAAATCACTGCTATGAATAACAGATGTGGCCAGCTTTCTATTGCTATGACAAAATATCTGAGAAAATTGACTTAATGAGAGGAAAGGTTTATTTTGGTCCACAGTTTCAGTTTCAGAGGTATTACTCCATGGTTGCTTGGACCTGTTGCCTTTGAACTTGTGATGAGGCAGAAGAATATCATGGCAGATACACATGGCATAGGAAAGCAGCTCACCTCATGACAATCAGAAACAGAATGAAGAGAGAGGCCAGGTGCAGTGGTACATGCCTATAATCCCAGCTACTTGGGAAGCTAAGGCAGTATCATAGCAAGTTTGAGGACAGCTGGACAAGGTAGAAAGACCCTGTCTTGGGTTGCCGCTCAGTGGTAGAGTGCTTGGCTAACATATGTAAGGCACTGGATTCGATTCCCAGCACCACATATAAGTAAGTGAATAAAATACAGGTTCATTAGCATCCAAAAAATATTTTTAAAAGAAAGAAAGAAAGAAAGACCCTGTCTTAAAATTTAAGAGAGAGAGAGAGAGAGAGAGAGAGCAAAGAAAAATAGGGCTGGAGATGTCGCTCATTGATACAGTGTTTGGTTGGCATACATGAGGCCATGGGTTCAATCCCCAACACTAGGGAAGGAAGGAAGGAAAAAAGAAGAGAGGAGGGCCCAAGATCCTGACCTCCCTTCAAGCGCATGCCCCCAGTGGCCTTATTTCTTTCCACTAGGTTTCACCTCCTAAAGTTCCACCATCTCCCAACAGCAACACAGGCTGAGGACCAGCCTTCAACATGTGGCCTCTGGGGGACACTTCAGATCAAAACCATAACACCAACGTTGCCAACACCTCCCATGTAATTATTCTCTGTGGTTCCTCCTTAAGGCCTTCATTCAGCCCTAGCACTGGTTGATGAATTGCCCTAAAGAGAGGGAACTTTGCCCTGTACTTGATGTTCTATAATTATGTATTTCCAGATCCAACTCCCTGATGAACAGGGCCATATATTAACGTATCTTCATCAGTGTATCCCTGGACCTTAGCACAGTGTCTGGATAATAAATTGCTCAATGAATTAAATTGAATCAGACAAGGAAAATCCCTGAAGGAGATGATGACCTAGCCTAGCTGCAGACAGCGTGGCCTTAGGGGCCTGCCCCAGGCTTCACCTCCCCTACCCTTCCTGCCTCTCTGCCTCAAAGATGAGGATTCCAGGAGTAGGAATGAGGCATAGGATCTCATCCCCAACTCCTTCACCTGCCTTCTGTGGTCCACGCAGGGAGGGGCATAGAGGAGGTGAAGCATATGTGATAATCTTTGGAGTTCATTTCCCCATCTTTTCCTTGGAGGAGGTGGAGTTGAGCCCACCTCCTATGCACTGAGATGTCATTTTTTTGGATTATAGATGGAACGGGGTGAATTCCAACAAGACTCGGTACTGAAGCAGCTGGAAGTCCTCAAAGAAGAGGAAAAGGAGTTTCAGAACCTGAAGGTGAGAACAACCACAGGTTCTAAGAGGCAGCCATGGAATCTGTTCTTCAGCTTTGATGGCCCCAGCCCCAGTCCCTACAAAGAATGATAGCCAGGAGAAGGGAAGGGCCAGAAGCCAGCCTGGGGACAGGTCTGTAGCCGCCAATCCCTGCTGAAGGCACCCGCTCTATCCACCCCAACGTGGAAGAGACTGAGAGTTAAGACTCCTCTAATTCACCTCTCCCCCTGCTCCTCACAATTAGATTTTAAAATCCATTATCCCTGTTCTGGACAAACACAAACAACAATTAAAGTCTGATTTTCAAGTTTTCTTAAAACAGAAAAAAAAAATAAATGAATAAAAAGAAAAGAAAATGATCTTGCAGTGCCCTAACATAAACCCTGGAAGGTGGTGGCAGAGGTTATCAGAGGCCACTCAGGAGGTGTCCAGTTCTGGGGTCCTCAGCTCCTTCCCTTCAAGAACCTGCCAGCCCTCTCCTGGCATCCAGCTTCACTGACCCTTCCTGGGTCTCCGGTTGGGTGTCCTTCTGCCTGCCTCCAGGCCTCGCCAGTGTTTCCTTCCTCCTCCTCCTCACCCCTCCCTGGGCAAGGTAGGGCTGGCTGGTTCTAGATTCCCCCCACCGTGTCCAGCAAAGGCTTCCCCAATGATGCCCCTCTCACTCTCACTCTCACCCACTCAGGACCCCACTAATGGCTACTACAGTGTCAACACCTTCAAAGAGCACCACTCGACCCCGACCATCTCCCTGTCCAGCTGCCAGCCCGACCTGCGTCCCGCAGGCAAGCAGCGTGTGCCCACAGGCATGTCCTTCACCAACATCTACAGCACCCTGAGCGGCCAGAGCCGCCTCTACGACTACGGGCAAAGGTTCGTGTTGGGAATGGGCAGCTCCTCCATCGAGCTTTGTGAGCGGGAGTTCCAGAGGGGCTCCCTCAGCGATAGCAGTTCCTTCCTGGACACACAGTGTGACAGCAGCGTCAGCAGCAGCGGCAAGCAGGACGGCTACGTGCAGTTTGACAAGGCCAGCAAGGCCTCCGCCTCCTCTTCCCACCACTCCCAGTCCTCTTCCCAGAACTCCGACCCCAGTCGACCCCTGCAGCGGCGGATGCAGACTCACGTCTGAGGATCACACACCGTGGGCGGGGACAGGCCAGGGAAGAGGGCAGGGCATGCTCTGGCTCTCCAGGGACCAGGGCGACTTTGCAGAGGACCCCAGAACTGGACACCTCCAGGATGGCCTTTGAGCACCTCTGCCAACACCTTCCTGTGAAACTCTGATCAAGCACAAATCTGGGTCCCCAGCAGCAGCCTGCCAGAGGCAGCAGGTGGGGAAACGGATGGAGGATGCCGCTGATGTGCTTGGTGCTAGACACCTTTGTCCCCAGCCCTTTTCTGGAGGCCCCTCTACCATCTCCTCCCACAGGCACTAGTGGCAGCTATAAATTTGCTTTCATGAAACTGCCGTCCACTCTCTGGTGTCCCCTGGGATTTCCCCCTTGCTGCCCATAAGCCCTCCCTGTGCCTGTGCTCCTATACAGCCCTGGGGAGAAAAGGAGAGTTCTTCCCAGCACCAAGCTGCTCCAGAGACCGCAGCTCCCCACACTGCTCCCAGCCCACGCCTCAGAGACTTGAGAAGCCAGAAATGGCCCTGGCCAAAAGAGCACACCACCTGGGAACCTGGCTCCAATTTGTTTGGTGTTTTGTGTCCATACTCTTGCAATTCTGTCCTTGGACTTGATGCCTCTGAACTCGGAGGTGGGACTGGCCCAATCAGAGCCTGGTGTCCTGTGGGGAGGGAGACTGTGAAGCCTGGGGAATACCGTACCCCTCTCCAGACTGCGGGATTCAGAGCCTCCCCTGCCCCCTGCTTTATGTACTCCCCACCTCCCCACAGCACAATCAGAATTAATATAAGGAGTGAGAGTTGGTCTGGTCAGGGTTCTTTGAACAGTCAATGGAGAGTGTTTCCTGGGTGGTGTTGGTTTGAGGGGGCTGGAGATCAGGTCCCGAAGAGGATGAGACTCTACTTCTCTGCTAATGAACACCAGGAGCAAAGATCCTGTCTCCAGTAAGACTCCATGGGCAAGAGGGAAAGTTCATCTGCGCCTCTCCTCTTCCCCCATTCACCATCTGAAAATAAATGTTAGGGCCATTACCCCAGCAAATCCATTCTGTTCTTTTTTTTATCCTGCAGAGTTACAGAAAGATCCCAAGGGCTCGGAGTATGCTTTGGGAACCCTAGTTTCTTTACCCTTCTTTGATTCAATTTTCTCAGACTAGGAAGGCAATGGATGGGTCTGGTTGTGGTGGTAACAGAACCTATAGACATACTGTCCTGGTGGATGGGCCTCACCAATCCCAACTCTTTTCTAATACAACTGAGGCAACAAGGTCATACTGGACATTTGTCAGATCATTTTAGTCTTTTCTCTTGATATTTTTTGGCAGGGCAATCTCCTTCCATTCAAGTTCAGGGAAGGAACCCTCTTAAAAGAAGTTAGACCATCAATACCCTAATACTCAGATGTGAGACTCAAACAATGTTCTTAGAATGGTTTTGCTTGGATAGGAAGCTGGGTGATGTCATGGAGGTGGGATGGATAAACAGTGGCTGGTTAGAGTGCTAACACAAAGGTTGTGATTTAAATGGAACTTTGAAGAACACAAATTGCACCCCAAGGTTGTAGGTTCCTTATTGGCTTTATGGCCTATTTCTCCAACCTTCCCTCACAGCCCTTATCCAGCATAGAAGCCACCACCGTAGTCTGTGCTTTCTTCCTTTCACTGATTCCTGGGATGGCCCCAATCTGCAGATTCTATGCTTAGCCCTCACAGTTCCCCCATTCAGGGGAATTTTCTGCTTCAGTCATACTCCTAGTGCTTTAAAATCCCCCAGTTCCCTGGATAGCTTCCTTTGCATCTCTCAACCCTAAGGGAATAGAAACTGATCAAAAATGGAAGTATACATCCCAGTCCCACATCCTGCTCTGGGTGCCACTCTGGTGAAGGTGTTAGGATCGTTGACCTCTACCCTCTCTAGGTTAATCTCAGCATGCTTTCCCTCTTATATATGTTTTCCTTTTGCCAGCAGGGAACAAGGATCCAAATCATATGCAAAATGACTTGATGTGATAGAATAAGGACAAGATAACTTAAGAGAATTTGTCCATTCATTTCTCCTCACCTTGGAGACAGGTGGAGAATCTACAACTTAATCCTCACCAGAACTTCCATTGCCCCATAGCCCCCCCCCCCAACACACACAACTTGTAGGGTGAAAGTGCCCATTCTTTCCACAACCCAGGGATATGACAAAATAACCAGAACAGAGAAGATACCTGTTCTGTGAATGGAATGAGTCCATCTCCGTCCTATGCCATAGGCAATCCCACGGCAAGAAGATGAACTGTTCTAGAAGATGAACAGAGAGCACCACAGGGCCACAATCAAAGATGAAGCTATAGAATATCAATCCTTTGAGCTCTCTTCATGCACAAACACAAAAGAATGGCGAAGAGACAGTAGATTCTGAGAATGGTCTTTATGAGGGGGAACAGCAATGCAGGGAGAAAATTAGGGTGAATGGGAGTGGGGTGCTCTGGAGCACTAAGAAGGACCCCAGATTGAGCTATGTGCATCCCTTACTTGTGTCCAGCTCTACTGATGTCTCACAATGTGTGAGGGTACAGAGAAGCCAATAAAGGCAATTAGTATTTAAAAAAAAAAAAGGTAGTAGGAAGTCCTGAATTCCCTAGTAGGTGATTGTACATTTAATAAAAAGAGGGCTCAATACCTATAATCTTATTTAATCCTTACAATTCTACAAAGTACCACCTTTTCTTACAGAGGTGAAAATGAAGCTTAGAGAAGCCAAAGACTTGCCCAAGGTCACAGAGTTAAAGAGTGGCAAACCTGAGATTTAAATACACAGGATTTCCACTACAAGATGTTTCTATCCTGCAGTGCAAACTCAAAGCCACTCTCATCCTAGAATATGAATGGAAGTGACTGACAGTCAAGTCATCTGCTAGCCGGCGCTCTGGGGCAGGCTAGGCGAGGACAAGCCACAGCTCCATTAGGAAGGCAGCACTGGCATCCTCCACCTAAAGTCCCCAAATGACCTAGAAAGACCACAACTCCCTGGGAAACAAAGCTATTCCGTGTAACAATTCACTGCCACCCCTACTAAGGCCAGGATCCAGTTTTCTGATAGCTTTAACTTCCATTATTGGCACTGAGTCACTGGACGGGAGCCCAGTTTCTAATTCTCAGGCTCACTATCAGTCTGCAAAGGCCAGGGTTATTTCCACCACTTTAACTTTCATGGAGTAGGAAGTACTCTCACATGAAGAGCTAAAATGCCTCATCAAGTTCATTTCTTTTTTTTTTTTTTAACGAGAGAGTGAGAGAGGGGAGAGAGAGAGAGAGAGAGAGAGAGAGAGAGAGATTTTTTAGATCCATGCAGACACAACATCTTTGTTGGTATGTGGTGCTGAGGATCGAACCCGGGCCGCACGCATGCCAGGCGAGCGCGCTACCGCTTGAGCCACATCCCCAGCCCTCAAGTTCATTTCTGATGAAGCCTATTTAAACAAATCCTATAAAGCAAAAGTCCTGAAAGCACTTTTGAGTTTCCAGAATGGAAAGGATCCAGAGAAATGAAAGCAAACACGATGCAGTCCTTGAGAGATTTCTTAGAAAAGCAAGAAAGGAGTCAACAGGAATTCCACTTCTCACTTCCTGGTTGGGGAAGGATATATGCTATTTATGGTATTTGCTTATGGAGTTGGAATTAAACTGCAAGATACGTAGCCACAAGTTTGATTAATTCTTCCCAGACATCATGTGTAGAGTTCGTGGTGGTACAAGAAAAAAAAAAAAAAGACAAAAGAGAGTCCTGTTATTAGTGTCTTCTCTTCCCCCTCCCCCTGCATGGTGCTTGTATCAAATCCAGGACCTCATGCATGCTAGGCAAGTACACTACCACTGAACCACATCTCCAGGCCCCAAACTCTTTATTAAAATAACAGTATAGTCAGGCACAGTGACGCATGCCTATAATTCACAATGACTTGGGAGACTGAGACAGGAGGATGGCAAGTCTGAAGCCAGTTTGGGCAACTTAGTGAAACCCAGACTCAAAATAAGATTAAAAGGTCTGGGGATATAACTCAGTGATAGAGTGCCCCTGGGAGCATTAAGAAGGACCCTAGATTGAGCTATGTGCATCCTTCACTGTGTCCAGCTCTACTGACTTCTCACAATGTGTGAGGGTACAGAAAAGCCAATAAAGGGAATTATTTAAATAAATAAAAAAAAGGTTATAGGAAACCCTGAATTCCCTAGTAGGTGATTGCACATTTAATAAAAAGTGGGTTCAATATCTGTAATCTTATTTAATCTTTACAATTCTACATTTTTTACAGATGTGGAAATGAGGCTTAGAGAAGCCAAAAAAGTTGCCCAAGGTCACAGAGTTAAAGAGTTACAGTTAATAACCTTATTATTCAATTCTTAGTACAGATAAGAAAAAAAAATAGACCAATGATATCACAACTAAAACATGAATTTTCCTTTCCCTTTAAAAAAGTCTTTTGAAAGCCCCATATCTAAGTTAGTTTTAGAAGCTGTGACTACATACTAGACATTTGCAGCTCTACCACTGAAACTGGCAGCAATCTCTGGTAGTAACTGGTAAAGAGTTTTCTGCTTATAATTGCTTATCATTTCCACTAGGGCTCCAACCATCCTTTCCCCAGCGCCCTGTGTTTCAATCTTCCTAACCAGGTCATAAAATGGGGAAATTTCAAGCTACTTTTCTTTCTACAAATACAGATTGTTTTCTTGAATGAAGACAAGTTTGTCATAAGACCATCAGTTCTTTCCCTCAATAATTATTATTCTTTCTTGAGCTACCTCCTCTCATCTCTAATGCTAGGTCTTTGACTTACTCGGAAAGCTTTCATTACTGTAAGTCCAGTAGTTTTATTACTACTACAATGCTCCTCTTTAAAAGGCTTTTTATAAAGGATTAAGGTATAGTTTAGTAGCAAAACATCTGTTTAGGATGGGCAAGGCCACTACCACAAAATAAATAAAAGATGTTTTGTGAACATACATCATTCACAAGATATGCCATTGAATTGTGGTCTGAATCCCTGAGTTTATTTTATTTTATTATACTGAGGATTAAACCAGCAGCACTTAACCACTAAGCTGGATCTCCAGCCCTTTTTAAGACAGAGTCTCTTTAAGTTACTTAGGGCCTTGCACTTGTGATCCTTCTGCCTCAGACTCTGGAGTCCCTGGGATCACAAGTGTGCACCACCATGCCCAGCTTCATCCCTGATTTTATAGTCACACACGCTTCCCCTACAGCTGGGGACTGAAACCAGGACTTGCTCTACCACTGAATTACAACCTCAGCCATTCCTGTTTATATTTATGCTTCTGCCACTATCTGCCTGCCACTCCATGTTGCCAGTGCTCTTCTCAGACAGTCCATTCAGCCCCAGGACTAGGACATCTTCAACTCTTGGGTCATGAGTGTCCGTTGAGCTCCCTGGCTAGGAAACACCAGACAAGCACAAGCATCTGCTTCAGCTGCTCCTGAACATTATGGCCCTTGACAATATCTCGGAATGCAAGGAGAACATGCAAAGAATGTTCTTTTATAATTGTGTTCTTTGTGGTAATTCTAAAGTATTAACATTCAAAAAGAAGGTAAGTGAAGTATTGGGAAACCAGATCTTCATTGGGAGAATTGGGGTCTATTCCTAATTATGCAAGAGGAAACATTGTACTCAGGATAGAAACTGAATATAGGAGGATATTTGTCTCACTAAAGGTCACCTCCACTTAGGCAAAGTCAAGATCAGGTGGACTAAGTTAAAGATACCATCTTTACCACTTTTGCATGGAAATTTAAGAGCCAGGGCTTTGCTGGCTGAGGACTAGACATTGCTTTTCTTTTTCTTTCTTTTTGCAGAACTCGGGGACTGAACCCAGGATCTTGTGCATACTAGGCAAGCTCTCTATCACTGAACTACATCCCCTAAATCCTTTTTATTTCTTTTTAAAAAAATATTTATAGCTGTAGATAGACACAATACCTTTATTTTATTTATATATTTTTGTGTGATGCTGAGGATTGAATTCAGTGCCTCACATGTGCTAGTAGTGCTCTACCACTGAGCCTCCTTTTTGTTCATTTTTTTATTTTTTGATTCTGGGAATTGAACTCAGGGACACTCAATCACTAAGCCACATCCCCAGGCCTATTTTGTATTAGAGACAGGGTCTTAGCGCCTCACTTCGCTGAGGCTGGCTTTGAACTCACAATCCTCCTATCTCAGCCTCCCAAGCTACTGGGATTACGGGCACGTGCTAACACACCTGGCCCCTCTTGTTATTCTTGAGACAGGGCCTCACTAAATTGCTAAAACTGGCCTCAAACTTTTAATCCTCCTGCCTCAGCCTCCTGAGTTGCTGGGATTACAGGTATGTGCTACCACTTCCTAGCTTAGAAATTGTATTTCTGATACTAATAGGCATTGTACTGTCAAGAAATATTGAAAGAAGACAAGAAAAGATAAAGTGATACAGATAAGGAAGAGAGACTTTTACAGCAGAATTTGAGATAACCTTGTTTAAAAGTTTCCTTAGCTTTCTCGCCATGCAAGAGCTACATTAAGTACAACATAAACCCATAAAGAAAAAGTGAGCACAGAACTGCAGTCTCTCTACCAGTCTCTAACTTGGACTTTCCTCCAGCAGAGTAGCTCTGTACTTTGTAAGGATAAAAACCCATTTTTAAGCAAGTGAAGACACCCTATACGTGTTAAAGTGGTGATGTATGTAAATAGTGTTTTAGAAAGCCTCAGGATAATAGATGGTTCTGAAATAGCTTAGTTCAGTAATTCCAACTTTGATCCCCTAGGGTTGTTTCAACGTCTGGACCTTCTCTCATTCTCTCCACCCAACTCCACCTTCCCAGTCCAGCAAAGCTCTAAATAAGAAGATAAGGCTCTGTTGACCAGGAGAGTATACTTGAAATTGTTAGTCTTCCCTAGGAATCTCATACAGGGCAAGAAAAAGCAGCCAACTAATCATCTCAACCCTGTAGGGTCTCCTAGCTGCCTCTCAAAGTCTGCTGTCCCTTTAAATGAAGGAGCAGAGCCTTCTAAGTCATCTGGACTTCTTCCAAAACTGTCATTTTGAGACTCAAGGTTCATCTCCCCATTTTATTTCTTGGGTACAGAATCCCGAAGGTCTCTAACAAGTGAAGTTCTTTTGTTGAGAAAGAACTGGACAGGAAAGCTGATTTAACCATAAACACACTCTCATATGGCCCTTGACCTCTGATGGGGTTATATACTTGCACACACCTTGTAAATATCTTACACTGAAAGGGCATTTATTACATCTGATTACAACACAGCAGCTGTCGAGTCTGTGGTTGCCCTTCCTGCTGGTGCGGTTTACTTGGAGCTCCAGTTCACTGCCACTGCCCAGCATCAAGAAAGACTATTGTACTCCTTAAGGTCTCTGACCTGACGTTAACTTTAACTTGAAAACTACTGCTAGAGAGCAGCTTGAACTCACAGCTCATTGATTATGCAAAACCTGTGTTCCAGTCATTCCACCCTCCTCTACCTAGCTTGTGGATGGTTTAAAGAGTTCTGTATCCAGCCATGTTATTCCGCACCTGGGCAAGTATTCTGTACCTCACCTGTTTCAAATGCTCCCCAAGTGTTTTCCATTTCACAGGCAGCTTTCCAATCCCATGTTTATATTATTTTCCAGTGTACAAAATATCTTAACGTGTTCCCATTAGATCCTTAAAATTTCACTGTGAGACAGGCATGCATAATCTGTATTTTCCAGATGGAAAAGCAGAGGTCTTCTTGACTAATTAAATGATAGAAGAGGGAGGGGAGCCAACCCTATTTTGCTCGGCGCTATATTTCATTGCCTCCCAGACAGTATTGTTTCTGAGCTCAAACTTTTTGTAAGCTAGACAGTCTCTGGAGGAAGGCATTTGAATGTATTAATGTCCTTGGGAAGTGCAAATAAAACCCCTAAGTGTCCAAAGTTAAGGCACAACGCCATGTGATGTGAATATAAAAATCATTTCCATGAGTTCCTGGGCTAGATAAAAGACCTAACTCTTGCCTCACCCAGGAAGGAGGTCCTGCGCCTGGAGTGGTTTCGCGTCGCTGGGCCTGTTTCTCTCTCTCTCTCTCTCTGTGAAGGGCTGCATTTATAGACTAAATTGGATGGTGCGGGTCCCTCCCGCTCCCTCGCCAGGTTTCACCCGGGTCTCGCTGAAGTCGGTAGGTCACATGACAACGCCCAGGCGGGAGCCCAGAAGCTCTCGAAAATGCCGGCACCTCGTGCAAAACCCGTGCGGAGCGACGCGGGCCCTGACCCGGTTGCCAGGGAGGCGCCGGCCTCTCTTGAGGCGGGGAGCCAGGGCCCGCGCCCCTAGGGGCCTGAGGGAGGCTACCAACCGTGCGGGAGCTCGCGTCTGTCCACCACCTAGAGGCACCGATGACGCATGCGCGGCTCCGCCCCGCTGACACACAAACACACACACCACCCCTCCCGCTGGCTGCCAAACCTGTGCGTGCGCCTCATTAACACAGTTCAAGGGCACTGGAGATTAGGATGGGCTTTACACGCAGACCGACCCGAGAGTGAAGCCATCCCTGGAGATCATCTACACTGCTGGAGCAGGTGTTCTGAGCAGTGGATTCTTGTTAGAATCCCAGATTTCTGGGCCCCACCCTCAGGAGTCTAGGACCCAGGCATTTCCATTCTTCAATCACCACAGGTAATTCTGAGATAAGTAGTTCTCATTAGCTGGACTTACCCTCCTATTTCAAGAAATGCAGTGATTGGGACAGAAGTCAAGAACCGATGGACTCAAGATTGAACAGAGGCAAATATGTGTCATGGCATAGCTTGTTTCGGAACCCAGTTTTCTTGACGCATTCTCATACTTCCAACTCCTTCCTCTTTCCCTCTTGCTGCATTTTCAGTGTCTAGTTTAATCAGCACCAGGCAGGGCTGGCAGGCAGTCCATTCACATTGGTTGGGCTAACTAAAGACTGGAAGTCTCTTTCCCAGAACACCAGACAACTCCAACAAACTCCTCTCCCAGCACTAATCCTCACTCAGCACTGCTTCAACCTGAACGGGGTTTGGGGTACCCTGAAGAAAGTTATGCTTACCCCCAGCAAACAATGGCCTGTGTGAGTGTACAAACACACACCCATACACTCTTCTCTGTGTGCAGTCATGAAGCACTGTCCCACACAACCTGACAAGAATGTTAAATACTCCCATGTCTGAGTGTGTGGAGTTTGGAAGGGTCTGCCCAGTCCCTATGTGTTGGATTCTGGCTCAAGTTTAGGCACGTTCAGTATCAGACAGTGGCCTCAGTCCAAGACGGCTGGATCTTGTGCACAGACAGCCACTTTCAATGGCCTTGGACAAGGAAACAAGACACTCCCTTGCATATCCTCATGAGAAGCATCTGAGAATAAACAGAACTGAGATCCCCCCACACACATTCACAACCCTGTTGGAGTCAGCAAGTTTCCTCCCCAGGACAAAACCTGGAAGACAATGCTTGCCTGTGGGGGTAGAGAGGAGGGGGTTGGGGTTGCAGAGCCCTATTTGTTTTCAGAATCCCCCATCCTTCTAGGGGGAGAGCAGCTAACAAGGTGGCCAGGCTTCTGAGAATGCGGGCAGTTCCACTCTCTGCAATAGTCCTCAGAAGTGTTCTGAAGAATGAAGTTGGTTGATCTCTAAGCCACTCCAACACACTGTCCAGAACTGTGTCATCTTCTGTCCCTCTCAAACCCCTGTCCCTCATTATCTTTCCCGTCCCAGCCTGGCTCATCTCAAAACCTCAAGGCTTTCCGAGAAAGCCAGGAACACAGCTGAGTTCCAATCCCCCCGGGGAGTTCCAATGCTCCCTCCTGGCTCCAGATGTAAAGGAACAGCTGTGGAGGTGGCAGGAGGCCCAGTTGGCAGTGGAGTAGGGACTGGGAAGATGGAGAACAAAAGCCAGAGATACAGGCAAACGGGAGGACTGTTAAAATTCTAGGGACTTGGGAAAGAAACTGTCTCATCCCCTGGCCAGGAGACTGGCTGCCAGGCCTTGCCAGATTCCTCTGGTGCTGCCCTCCAATTCTGGCAGCCTGTGCCACTGGCAGGGCCTTCCATAAACTCTGTTTCATGATTCCCACTTAATCTGAGAAGGGAAAATTGGCTTGCTTTGTCTGACCCCACCCCGTCCTTAAAACATGCACTTCCCAGCATGAGCTTTTGGTAATTGAAGAATGGTGAGGGAGAGAGGAGACAGGAAAAGATTCTACCCCTCTATCAGACATCCTCTTTCCCCCTCCTTCCCTCTTCCTGGGAAGTAAACCAGGATGCTGAGTGCAGGCTGGGTGTCCACAGCAAGGCCACTCCAGGTACCACTTGCTGTCCTGCTGTGCCTGGTGATACTGTGCAACTGGGCACCGGGCACAGTCTCAGTAATAATTATTCTTCAAATGGCAATGTCCTGCTCTGGGTGCACTGTCACACCCCCATCTGTGTCCTCCCCAATCTGAAAGGACACAGGGTCTCACACCTGCTTCCGTTTTAGGAAAAATATTTTAATGGTAGGTTTGAAACCTCTTTTTCTGAGGTCCTCTTCTTGGTAGAACCCCTTCACCCATGCTCTTCCCAGTCCGGCTGGGAAGTAACAGCTCCTCTCTGGAGGACACCCAACCACTCCTGGTGACTCGCCCTCCTGGGAGGCCAGCTCTGGGTCTAGGCTTTGGTGGGCCCATCACAAGTAAGTTTTTATAAAAAGTGGGCAGAACACTGTACTGTGCCCCTTTTCTGGATGCCATGGGACCAGCCCACAGCATTTTCCTACCCCTTAATTAAATAGCCCATTAAATAATCTCTTGGTGCTAGCAGAGGGGGTACTCAGCAACAAGTATCCTGGCTTGGCTGGGTTCCTGTGGTCCCCAATGCCTATACCATGACTGGATCTGGGACCCCTCAGGTAGCCAGGGGCATGGCCTCATCTCAGATTGGGCCAGTTCCAAGACCCCCCTCCCCAAACAGGAGAGAGTGAGTTCAAGGGGGTTGTGCTGGCACCAGGCATCCCTGCAACCATGGACAGGGGTCCCTCAGGCAGTGGAGTAGGCAACCCTCAAGGGTTACAGCTCTGGCCTAAGTCAGAAGTACGTGAGGTTCTTCACAGCTCCAATCTCCAGCATCCGCTTGATGGCCAGGGCCTCTTGGGACACGTTGTGGCCTGACCCCTGTAGAGACAGCCAAGGAAGTATATTGAGGGGCTCCCAGGGACCTCCCTGTCCTTCCCCATGGCCCCACACTTCTTGGGAGGTCTTTCCCTGTGTTGGCTCTTGGAAGGAAGGCAGATCCACATGGCCAAATACAGAAGATACCGGCCAGGGTTCAGAGCTCTGACTCTGACTGACTTCATAGTGAGGCACCTCTGGGTGCCTTCACCTCTCTCTCACCCAATGTCTCTCTAGTAGTCTGGTCCCCAGACCCATCTGAGCCATGGAACTCCCAAGCAGGGCCACTTACCGCCATGGACTTGAGTGTGATCTGCTCATAGTAGTGAATGGTCTGCTTCTTATTGTAGGCATCTGGGTAGCCAAAGCCTGCAATGTGCACTGAATCGCAGAGGTGAAGGGCCAGGGTGATGGCCAACAGACCTGTGGTTGGTTTCTGAGGGACAAGACGGGAGGCATCAGAAGGTGTCCTGCTCCTCCCCTGTCTTCTGTGTCAGTGCTCTGATGGAATTTTTGGAGTCATGGACATGTGCTTCTTCTGCACTAATAGAACAGCTCCTAGCCAGCTGAGCACCGGAGGGGGGCTAGTGCAGATAAAGAAGCAGATATTTTTTTCTATGAAATTTTAATTCATTTAAATTTTTTTGTGGTATTGGTACTGATGACTGAAACCAGGGGCACTTTACCAATGAGCTATATCTCTAGCCCTTTTATTTATTAAGACAAGATCTCACTAAGTGCTGAGACCGGCCTCCTGCCACAGCCTCTCAACTCTCTGAGATTACAAGTATGTGCTACCCCCTAGCTCATGCATTCGAGTTGAAGCACTCTACTGCGCTATACCCTTAGCCCAAGTTAATTAAACTTTAAATTTAAGCAGCCGCATGTGGCAAGTGGCTTCCATAATGGATCATACAGTTCCACATATCTGGGGGGAGGGTTTGATCCTTGAAGGAAGACAATGGGAATCAGGATGACAATAATGGCAATCATCATAATACTATTACTTTTTGAGTACTTACTATGTGCCAGACACTATGTTAAGTGTTAACATAGTATGTAATACATCATCTCAACTAGTCCTCCCCAAAACACTTGCTATTTTAGTATTAGCTCCATTTTATGAAAGAAAAACTAAGGCTTACAACTATTAAGCAACTCAGTGAAAAGGAGGAAGGGATCTGCTATGTGACCCTTCATGAGATGGGCTCTCCCCTTCTATAAAGTGAGGATATTAATACCTTTCCTATCCAACTTTTGGACCACTATAGGACCTCACTTCCTCTACCTCTAATTCATCCACAGGGATGGGCAACCTGATGTTCAGACTTCACACGACTTGCCTTCCTCAGCTCCAACAATCTGTTTTGCAGAACATCTCAGCTGCCCACTCCATTTGGGAACTACCTTCTGATGTGTCAGCCCTGAATGACAGTTTTCCCAGTTTTTTTCCTCCAGCATCCCTTTCAAGCTCTTGGTCTTCTCATTTCTGTCCCCTGCCTCGACTCTTTTTCACTCTTGTTGCTTTAACCACCACCACCACCCACCCCACCCCTTCAAGGTCTCTCATCCAGTTTGAGCCCTGCAGAGAACCATACTGCCATCTCCTAGTTAATTCTGCCTGGACATGGGTTCCTCAAACTCACCATGCTCTTCTTCTTTCCTGCATTCTCTGAACTAATTAAATATATTACCATCCATCCACTTGTCCAAATTGGAAACCAAGAACTGGTCATATACCTTTCAACCCCAGAATCCTAGGAGGATCCCTATTGAATCTCACTTTTATATAATCTACTCCCCTCAAAGGTAGATGAAAATTGCCTATGGGATAAATACATTATGCTTCATTATGTTACTTTACATGGCAGAGTTGGCCAGAAGAGAGGAGATAATCCTGATGGGATGACCTAATTATCTAAACCTTTAAATCTGGGTGTTGAGGTCAGAGATGAAAGAAGTCAGAGATCTGAAGCACAAGAAGGATTTATCCTGCTTGAAGTCACTGGCTTGATGATTCTTGCCATATGGATCCCTCACTTAGCTGACAGCCAGCAAGGACATGGGGACCTCAGTCCTGCAACCACTGGAACCCAATTCTCTCAACAGCAAGAATGAACTTGGAATGATTTTTCCCCAAAATCCTCCAGACAAGAACTCAGTTCTTGTGACCAGTCTTGTGACACCCTAAAAAGAGCCTACAGGAATATGAACTAAGATGTGAGTATTATTTTAGGCCACTAAGCTCATGGTAATCAGTTAGGCAGCAAGGAAAAAAACAAGACAATGTCAAGTCTGTGTCCAATCCTTCCTTTTCCTTTCCCACTGCTAGGAGCTGGATTCAGTTACTTACCTCCTTGTACCTCTCTCTCTAGCCTTCACTCTAGTCTATGTTCCCATGGCATACGGTGTTTCTTGCTGCCCCTCAATTCCACTTGCACTGAAACAACTTTGTGGCTGGAGGAGAAGTTTGGTATTGCCAAATGGAAGGATTTTCCCCAGTTCCCTGCTTGTTGGGCCCCATGATCCCTCCAGGCCAACCCCAGTACTACTTCTTGTGGGGAGTCCCCCAGACTTCCCGCAGAAGAAGTGTGCCCCTTTTCTGAGTCCCACTGCCTTTGCAACATTTTATCACTCATAGTGCAACCTGGAGGCCCATTCTGCTACAATGCGTCTCCTTAAGACAAGGAGCACATCTCTCTCACAAGCATACAGGCCTGGAGCCTGGCACTGAGAATCACACAAGTAGACATTCACCTCATGACACTGAGTAACAGTAGATATTCAGTCAAGAATAAAATGATTAGCCAGGCATGATGACACATGCCTGTAATTCCAGCAACTCAGGGGAAGTGAAGCAGGAGAATCACAGTTCGAGGTCAACCTGGGCAACTCAGCAGGACTCTGTCTCAAAATGAAGAGGGCTGGGGATGTAGCTCAGCAGTACAGCACTCTGGGTTCAATTCCTAATACCAGGAGGGGGGGGGGCATTTATTCAAAAGTTGGAAAATATTTACTGAGGAAGCACTGCATTCCAATTTCCATGATAGGCATTTTACGTAATTAATCATTTCTTAAATTCTCTAATGGTCTTAAAAGTCAGAATGAGTATTATCCCCATCATACAGACAAGAAAACTGAGGGACCAAGTGGTAGAACTGCCCAGTGCTATACAGTAAGAGGTACAGCTCAGAATCCTGTCTATGACAGTTGGTTTTGCTCCCTCCAACATCCTTCACAGCACCCTGAGGGGGTATAAGATATGTGGATAAGTTCTTGGGAAACTACAAAGTGGATTACAACCTACCAGCTAAAGACCTCAGGGCACTAAGAGCTGAAATCAAAACTGTGACTCACAAACCTATACCACGACTTCTATGACACAACATAGCAAACCATGACATGCAAGGCAGACTGCTAAAGCTCAGACTCTCTTAATTCAGTCAGACCAATATGTTCCAAGATAAGATTACAGACTAAGCATCTAACAACTCTACACAGGCTTAAGCTGTTCCAAAGATAGAACCAGAGACTCTTCCAGCAGCTCCCAGTTTACAAATTCTGACCAGCGCCTGCCAAAACCACTCTCTATCTCCAGCCCCCAAATCCAACACATACCTCTTGCTCATTTCCCCTGTGGAGATGCCCCACAATTCCCCAAGGCATGCACTCTCTCTGTCACGACAGGCTAATAAATCTACCTCTAATTACAGGTCTGTTCCTGAAGGTCAAGTGTAAGTTGCTCTCTCTTGTTATTCTCCCTGCTCCCGCATCCCTCTGTGTCACCTCCCCACCCCCTCCACAGGACCCCAACCCTCAGGCCTGGGCTTCTTGTCACCAGCCCATTGTCACCTGTTTAATCTTTCGCGGCTGTTGCATTGGCAGGCTCAACAGTTTGTCAGCTGCAATCTCCATGAAGAAGGGATTGAGAATCCGAATCTGTTTGGGGTTGACATCCCAGATGAGGGGGGGCTGTTTCCAGAAACCTTTTCGCACCTAGGGGGATGGGGTTGGAAGGGAGAGACATGAGAGTGGATGAACACCTGTTTTCTCCTTTCCAACTCAGTCTGTGGTCATCAGCGTGGGGTCCAAGTGTAGGCAGAAGGCCTTGGGAGTGCAGGTAAAAGGGAAGGGAGATGGCCTGTGCCAGAGACGGAGGGAGACCGGTGAAAAGCGGAGTACCACCTCAGGGAGGCCAGGTGACAAGGTATATAGAGTATTGGGTCCAACAACCTAAATATTCAAACAGGATATTTGAATATTTAGGGGCCTCCGCTTATGCTGTCGAAACACTTGGCAAAAATGCCAGATGGGATAGTTCAGGCTTCAACCAGATGGCAAGGTGAGGGAGTAGGCTCGTTCTGGGGACCATCTGGAAGGGCTCACAGCTTGTTGTTAAGGCCTGCTCCTCGCTGCCTGGAGGTGACTGCTGGAGGGCACCTCTGCCCCCATGTTTCACATAGGCAGACACATTCTGGTAGCTTTCCTGTACCAGACTCCTCAAGTGTCGGAGGGCCTTTGGCTGCCACTGCCTGACTCCTACAGGTTTTTGAGCCAGGCTACTGGGTAGTTTATCGGAAGCCCTGCAGGACACTGCCCTTGGCAGGAAGCCTAAGGCACTGACCTCTGAGAGCCTGGTTCATGCTGTCCAATCACCAGACCTTTAGGGCTGCAGGACAGGAATTGTGGAGCGTGAGATCCTTACTTGGACAGAGTCCCCATGGGCCCATCCCCCATTTACCCGCTTCTTATCACTCAGGATGGTCTCAATCCAGTGGAAATCCATCGCCTTGAAAGCTACTAGAACCAGGAGTGTGTCTGGGTTGTTCTCCACTTTGGGGTCGAAGTGGGCAGATTCAGGGTAAAAGAGACGCATGGTGGTCTTGGAGCCCACATCTCCCTCGTAGCCAGCCACTGGGGCGTTGTTCAATCTAGGGCAGGGGAAAGGAAGCCTGTTATTAGAGCCTCCCTTTCCCCACCTGTCTACAGTCCCCTGCTTGGGATACCCAGCATCCCAATAGAATTGGGAAGGGACAGTCATACACACCTGATGACCACATCATACTTGTTGATGGCATCTCCCAGGGAGCTGTTCCGTAGTCGATGCCCATTGCCCACCACGACACAGCGGCGGCACTTGAGACTGCATGGGAAGAGGAGTCATCAAACCCAGGAGTCCTTGCTCTACTTAACTCTCACAGCTCTGGATCTGTCTGGGGCTCATCTCAGGAGCACTTCCTCCACTCTCTGCAGCCCCTGGTCCCCATGGAGCAGGCATCACCAAGTAGCCCTGCTTATGATCATGATGACTTTGTAATTCTGGGCCTTAAAGGGAGAGGTAACTCCCTTGAGCAGAACATGGCAGAGAGGCAAGGAGGGAAGATGCAATGGGACCAGTGCAGAGCTCCCTTGCAGGGAGCCTAGTCCTGCCTATTGCCATGGAAATACGCTCAGCATCCTCTGGCACCTGGATGCCCAGGCTAGATTGCTGTGGGGGTTGGCATACCTATATCCCCGAGAGATAAGCAGGCTAGGAAGGAGGATCAAATTTGCCACAGGGAACCCTCAACAGGAGGCTCACTGGGATGGTGCTGAGCCATGACAATTTCACACTGAGGCAGGAAAGAGGAAGAGGCACCCAGTCTTGAATAGGAGGAGTTATCTTCTTACCTCTGGATGCTCTCAGGTATGGAGTAGCTGGTGATGGCTAGCACCCGGAGGAGCAGGTCCTCTACAAACAGAACAAATGGAAAGGAATGAGACAGCAGTCACCAGCATCCTGAGGCTGCCTGCCCTGCTCCATTCCTTAGAGCACTGATCCTTCTTCCACCTTGATCCTGATGCCTGGGCCCAGCTTAGAACTTAGGCACAGAGAGAGTGGTTGGCAAAGAACAGGCATCAGTGTGGCCAACATGATTCACCATATCTGCTAAGCTGGGCAGAAACTTACCACTTCCCTTGGTCCCATAGGGCAGCTCATAGGCAGATGGCGTCTTGACCCAGAAATAATCTTTAAGCTGCAGGAAGATGGGCTGATCTCGGGAGTGGCTGCATGGGGTAGGAATGAAAAGGGGATTAATTTAGATGCCAGGGCAGGGTCAGGTCTCTGACTAATATTACATGGTCTTTCCTTTACCCTCTGGCTTTGCCTAACTTGTGTCCACCAGCACAGCCCCCTCCCTCCAGCCAGCCAACACTGAGGCTGAAGCCCTCAATTTTGGCACTCCCCATACCTTGTCCTCTCCCCTCAGCCTCACGTACTTACTTGCCAAAGATCTTAGAGGCCTTCCTTTCTGCTTCACCCTGGAAGCACGGCTCCTTCTTCTCTGGGATGGGAAAATAAAAACTGGAGACAGAGAAGAGAAGGGAGCCCCAGTCAGATCTGGGGCCTCATGGTCAGGGTTCCAGGCAGCCCCTACCTCCCCCATGGCACACAAGTCTCAAAGCCCTGAGATGGGAAGAGTCATGACCTGGCTCTCAGAACCCTCCTGCCCTGATAACCCTGCCCTGAATGCCCCATCCCTGAGAAGAACCAATGAAAGGACATAAAGATATACTCACAGCTCAATGTACTTGTCTTCTCGGGAGATGGAATACCACACCATGACAACCAGGACCAGAGCCAACATGGCCAGGAGCTTCCAGCCTGCAGGGCACATGCACAGAGGAGCTAGAGGCAGAAACAGGCAGGTACAGCCCATTCTTCTTACCTGCCCCATTCTGGGCCCCTCCAACCCCCAGCTTGAGCAGACCCAGTCTCTGGCCCTCTCCTAGCCCTAGCTCAGGGCTGGGATCTGAATGTTTCTAGTGTTCTTTAGGATGAAGAGAGGGTCCCTGGTTCCCAGTCTGACCCTCCACCACCCCCAGGGGGTGCCAGGATGCTGCAGAGATTGGCTTCTGGAGGCCCATCCTTCAGTGAGGGGGAGCCCCTGGACAACACTCACGGGACTTGCTGATCATGTTTCTCAGCGGGTAGCAAGGTTCCTGGGGAGAACTGTCATCCCGGCTGCCTCGGGCCACCTAGGAGGTAGGAGTCCCAGGTGTCTGTCTAGTTGGCTCCACAAACACTCCTGCTTAGAGCAGGACACAGCCACAGCCCACCCCTTTTCTCCTCCTAAAAGCACAAAGCCACTCCCTGGGCAGCATCGCCAGAGCCACTGTCTCACTCTCAACATCCTCCTAACCCCTCCAAGGACAGCATCAGGGATCCCAGGCTAGTCTTGAACTTGTCCTTCTGCCTTAGCCTCCCACATAGCTGGGATTACAGGCATGTGCCATGGCTCCTGGCTCCACCCACATTTGACACAAAAATTAAGCTAACTGTACCAGGGATAGATTCATATTTTATCTATTCTCCACCATCTAAGGCTCCCCTTGCTCTAGCCACCATCTCCCTCTCCTTATCTATCTCCCACAGCTCCTGCCAAGCAGGTGTGCTTGTGCCATAGACTGAGAATGAGGGTGGGGCTAGGAAGGACCCCATGGGCACCCCCCTTCTGGGCCTTCTCGACTCTGACCCAGGCAAACAGTGCCTGAGTCTCACCCCACATCCTATAGGGTGAACTCAGTGAGAAGGGGTGATGAAATGGGGAGACAGAAAATGGGGAGCCATGAGGGAGTAGTTAGTCCATGAGGAGTCTAGAGAGACTTCCAGCAAGGTAAGGGCAAAGGACTGGGTGAATCCAGAAGGGGGGAACTGCCTTGGACTCAAACTTAGCCAGGGTCATGCTGCTAAGTCACTACATAACAAATATCTATGCCTTCCATAGCCACAGGAAGAAGCACAGTGTCCGCCTCTTCCATCACGCACCCACACACACACATTCCAGGGCCCTGCCCTGCAGACCCACCCAGGTCAGCTTGGGTGGGGACTGGGACTGTGATTTTATAAGAGCTCAGGTAACTGAGAATGAACCAGGAAAGGGAAGAAAGGACTAGTGTGTGACAACTGAAAAGTCTTTGATTATTTCTTAGGGATAGGGAGGGACAAGGCCTGGTCTTTGTTACACATCACAGATAGATGATCCTGAATGCTGTTCTGTTATGGAGCAAATTCCCTGCTCCCCAACAGCGTGTTCCTCAGGCTATACTCTGAGTCCACAGTCACTGAAGAAAGAGTCTTCAGTGAAAGGGACAAAGCCAGGAAAGGACCACCACTAGACATCCTCAGTAGGGTTAGTAGCAACCATCGACAGATCCCAGAGGAATAGAGGATGGCCCTAGCTGGTTTTAAAAAGAAGAAGAAGTCGTCAAAGATTCCCCCATTCCTCGGCCTCTCACATTGTAGGCAAGCACTTTATCATCGAGCTATCCCTACAGTGCTGAAAAGTTAGAGATTTGTAATCAGAAGTTCCCAGTTAAAGTCATTATTCTAGAAACTCCCCAGATAGCTCTGCCCACCCACAGCAACCTCCAAGCCATTTCCCACCACATGGCCTCTTCATCTCCTTCACAGCCTTCTTTTGATCTGTAGTGAGCTTAGTTATTTGTTTGTTTTCTGTCTCCCCTATTGAAATATAAGCTCTGCAAGGTTCAGAATAGGTCTGTTCTATTCCCAACTCCAGCCTCCAGCATGATGCCTGGCACAGAGTAGAATATACCAGAAAGCACAGAATGAATGCCAAGTTTGTGGATGATCACATCTCCTTCACTGACCCTCAGTTGTCAGGCTGGAAAGTTAGCCTAATAGATCCCTGTTGCTCGAAATACATTTATCAGATCAACAACCTGGGTAACACAAAGACCCTTATTAGAAATGCAGAATTTTAGGCTTCCTGCAGACCTACAAAATATTTGATCATGATCCCACATTCAAGTCTGAGAACCACTGATTAGGGAGGATGTTTTCACAATGGCTGAACAGAATTTCCTCAAAAAAAAAAAAAAAAAGAAAAGAAAAGAAAAAGAAAGAAAGGTGTGTGTGGGGTGGGGCAGGTAATACAAATTCCATACCTAGAAATTCTCAGAGAGTTAGTCTGGTCTAGCCTGGAATTTGCTTACACACTAGGTGATTCTAATATACAGCCATGGTGGAGAACAACAGATTGGACAACCTTGAAAGCAGACTTTTCAAACTTTGATATGCACATTCTGATTCTTATTCAGAGAATATGGGTGAGGCCAGAGGATCTCTCCTCCGACCAGCTCCCTGGCCAGGCTCTGCTGCTTAGCTGGACTACACTAAGTTGCAAAGCTCTAGGTCAGAGTCCCTCCAGCTTTAAATGTTTTTCAACTTTATCAACTGTACCATTTCCTACACTTCTTGCTCTCCTGATCTTCGTTTTGTAACCTGGATTCACTCCCTCTCAGTGCATCTCTCTTTATATCAGTAAGCCACAACAATGGCTGCACAATGCAGTCAACGGAGGAGTTTTAAAATATCCAGATGCGGGCTGGGGATGTGGCTCAAGCAGTAGCGTGCTTGCCTGGCATGCGCGGGGCACTGGGTTCGATCCTCAGCACTACATAAAAATAAAATAAAGATGTTGTATCCACTGAAAACTAAAACATAAATATTAAAAAAATTCTCTCTCTCTCTCTCTCTCTCTCTCTCTCTCTCTCTCTCTCCCCCTCTCCCTCTCTCTCTCTCTCTCTCTCTCTCTCTCTCTCTCTCCCTCTCTCCCTCTCTCTCTCTCTCTCTCTCTCTCTCTCTCTCTGTCTCTTAAAAAAAAATCCAGATGCTCCACTCTCCAAGATTTTTATTTAATTAGTTAGGGGTCCAGGCATTAGTAGTAAAAAGCAAAATAAATAAACAAAAAGAAACACTGCCTCTATGGTTCTAATGTGCAGCCAGGATGAAAAACACTACACAGAGCATGTTCCAGGCTAACTAAAAGACAAATACTCAGCCTTGCTCTAAGCAACCTTGAGGGTAGAAACTGGGGATTGGAGACAAGTAGCCTGGACCAAACCCAAACAGCAAGGCAACTAGCCCTCCTTTGACCTCTTTCCCAATAAAGTTCTGCATCAGCATGTCTTGATTCAAAAATGGAGCCAGTGTTGTGCTAAGCAGACCAGCTACACTCAGGGTTGCACCACCCCCTCTCCTTGCTGGGCCAAGCCAAGAGGATTGCCCAGTGGCTTCAGGCATTCCAAGAAGCACAGCTTCTTAAGCACATTGCTGCCCAGGGAGACTTGTAGCTTTTTCCCACCCGCTGTCCCACATTGCTGACCCAGCTTCTCAAAAAGGCAGGAGAAAAGTCACAGTAGGATACCTGGGTAGAAAAGCTAGCATCTGATCCATCCATGTTCAAGGTACACCAGCCTCTAGGAATGAGCAGCTGCCAAGGAGACCAGCTCATCCAGTCTGCAAGGCAAAGCTGACCCAGGGCAGGAGGGCTATTTGCTCTCACGGCACTCTGCCAAGAACCAAGGTGTCTGTGGCTAAAGAGAACTAGGGGAACGGGGTGAAGAAATAAGGCCCACTGGGAGCAGGAACCATGGCTCATACTGCCCCCGGCACTGACTGTCTAATGCACAGCAGGTACCCAGTGAACCGAGAGGAGCACAACCCGATATCCCCCAGGGCAGAGCATAATGCCAGGGTCCTGAGCCCTCAGATCCACCACAGGGTCATGGTTTAATGTTCTAAAGAAGGGGGCTGGGGAAGACCAGTGGGGACAAAAGCCCAAGGTTTACTTAATGTTGCCGCTGAATCTCACTACCCCTCAGGGGTGGTGGTTGTAGTTTTTGGTACTGGGGATTGAACTAAGGGGTACTTTACCACTGAGCTGCAAAGCCCTTTTTAGTTTTTGTTTACCTATGTAGGTACAAGGGATGGAACTCAGAGGTGCTCCACCACTGCATTATATCCCCATCCCTTTTTATTTTATTTAAATATTTATTTTTGAATAGGGTATTGCTAAGTTGCTGAGGCAGAGCCTCCCAAGTTGCTGGAATTATAAGTGTGTCCCTCACACATGGCTCACTGACCCTCAGTGACCCTAAAACAAAACTTGGAATCACTTTCCTCCCTGCTCTTTCAATACTCTCCCACCACTTCTCTCTCCAAATCCCTTCCCTGATCCCTCCCCATCACCTTCCCAGAACTGTCCCAATCAGTGACTCCATCCCCCTTGGCCCTATATCTCCCACCTCTGCTTCCTCCTCTACTCTCTTTGACTTATAGACACATTCCAGACCCCTTCTTCCTAAAAAAGCAAAAGTCTGTCTCAGCCTCTAACCCCTCTTCCTGTTACCCCTGCTTCTCTCTCTCCCCTCTTCCCTCCGTCCTTCACTCCCTCCATCATTTTTATGCTAAAATTGTTCCTGATGAGAACATTTGGTGGCTTCCCTCCTCCTATTTGATCTAGGGCAGGAGGGCTATTTGCTCCTTCAGACCCACAAAATTAGAACCCTGCAAAGGGTTATTAAAAAATTAAAATATTAAAAATAAAAAAAAAAAACTCAACTCCAGGAAAGCGTTATTTTTCAATCTCATCATACTGTGACCTTGTTCACTGTTGACCATGCCTCCTTCATGGCTTTTAGGTCAAGGCCCTCTCCAGGTTTTCCTGCTACCCCATCCTCTGGAACATTTTTCCCTGGCTCTGCTTTCTTTGCCCACACTTTTTATTTTGCCTCTCTCCCTCCCTCTATGTGTCTGTCTGTCTGTCTGTCTCTCTATATCTCGCTCTCTCTCTTTCATACTGGTGATTGAACCCAGGGGTGCTTTATAACTAGGCTACATCCCCAGTCCTTTTTGTTTTTTTATTTTGAGACAGTGTCTCCCTAAGTAGCCCAGGATGACCTTGAACTTTTGACCCTCCTGCCTTAGCCTCCCAAGTAAATGGGATTACAGGTATGCACCACCAACAACTTACCCACATTTTTTTAAAGTATATCAGAACTTATAAGGAAAGAGAAAAGGAAGCACTCTCAAGAGGAAAAGTAGGTTGTCTCAGAGAAAAGATTGTTCTTGCTCACATTTTAAATGCTAGCATTCTCCAGGATTTGTCCTGGAGCCCTTTTACACATTTTCACAGGACAAGTTCATTCATTTTAGAGGTTTGCTATTATTT